GAGTGACGGGGCATCAGACGCGGAGAGGAGTCGTGTAGGAGGACCTGTGGGCAGGCCTGAGCACTAACCGATGATTTACTGAAAGTCAGATGAAGTTATCAAGAGACGTTCGTAGCAGGAACTATCTCTATCCATGTTTTCCATGGATAGAGATAGTGTACGTAGGTGATGTATGAGAGAAAGACAACAGTTTAGAAAAAGAGAAGGGGAGAGGAGGGATATCGTACCAGAAGATCTAAGAGAGTAAATTTGGCTGCAAGTCGAAGGTGAGACTTGAGAAAATGTCTTTCATGCGTCTGTGTATCAACAAATAAAGTCCAGGATCAGATAACAGTACTGTTTAAGGACACACACACACACACACACACACACACACACACACACACACACACAAAAGACAATTACTGTATATGGCCATCTTACGCCATACTACAATAGTTGTCATGGTTACGCTGCTCCTAAACTACCTACGGTGGATCCAAGTGTGAAAGCCCCTCACTCATCTGCCTCCATCTCTGTGGCACCTCAGGCTACATGCCATCACTCACACAAGGTAAATGAATTATAATCACACGTTGGTAAAAAGAAATCATGGTTTGCAGAACAGTAGGCGTAAGATTTACCGGAGGCGAGCGGGTGTGTGCACACACACATCCGATTGAGTGAAAACAGAGTGTCAGGAGAGAGAAAATAAAGAAACTGAAAACAAGATCAAGAGAAAGAAGACGGCACCTGCAACACTACAGACTGAAGACACTGAACAGTATCAACATCTTTATTGAAAGAAACACGTTACTGCTGGTCTGAATGTAAAGCACCGCATTAATATTTGAGTCATCTTAAGATATTTAACAAAAAAACAGTTCAAAGTTTGACTGTCAAATGGTAAAGATTGTTGGAATTTGACCGTCTGACAGAAACATGTTGCATCATAAGCTGTTAAAAAAATCTGCTGATTGTACCCCCCCCTCCCCCCCCCTGCTTGAGTTGTTGCTTACCACTGTTCAACACGGTGACGCGTGGAGTCACGTCCAGGTCCAGGGGCGTTCTGAACGGGTAGCCGGCTGCCGCACACACACAGCAGCTCAGCAGCAGCAAACGCACCGCAGAGGATCGAGCTCCCTGCATCTCCGCCGAGCGTCTCGTGAGACACACACACACACACTCTCTCTCTCTCTCTGACCAGGACGTGTACACATGCAAAAGGCACTCACACCGACATATTCACCCAACGACTCACAAACACCCAGTCACTGGCAGGCGGCCTCTTCCACAGTGATGTAGAGAGAAACAAAGAAACCTGAAAGAAATGAGACACAAAACCATCGGTGTTAACAATCATGTCCACACAAGTGTCACTTTAGAGTAAAAGTTGACAAAGCAGGAAAGCTGGTGAAGCTGAACGTCACACTTCAAATATATTAAATAAGCTGATGTTGAGGATTTCACAAGGATGACGACAGAGATACGAAAGGGACACAAAGGGCACTGGCTCAATAGGTTATTGGGTGCTTTTCGTAGATCGATGCCGCTGCGTGAGAACCGGGCCGGCTCTCCGCGTTGCATAGTCTTGCAGTGTGCAAGCAGCAGCTGCCCATTACAAACACACAACGGCAAATATCATTAACCAAACAATGACCGGAGCAAACAGAGCTACGTGCCGATGTCACAAGCAAACACTTGAGAATTAAAACGCCGGCGGGATCGATAAGATGTGAAACCGGTTCTAGCAGTAGACGTGCATGAGAGGAGTCAAATTCATGAGGGGAGAGATTGTGAAATATGATCACCTTTAAGAAGTGTGTGTGTGTGTGTGTGTGTGTGTGTCAATCACCAGTGCATGTACACCAACACTGAAAACTCCAGCCAATGGAGCATACCCGTCTTTGTTTATATACACATTCCCTCTCTCTAAAGGAGATAGTTCACTCCAAAATCAAAAATAGATATGTTTCATCGTAGCTGTTGTGCTATTTATTCATCTAGAACAGACCATGTTGTGAGCAGTTTCATGTACGATTGCTGAAAGAATATCTCCAAAAATTAGGCAACTCACACCAAATCAATCTAGATTGATAAATAGCACTATAGGTAAAAAAATAAATATGCAATTTAGATTTTTTTTTAATTGAACTGTCCTTTTATAATGATTTCACTCTTTAGTGCTTTACTTCAACAAAGAATGCCTCTTGCACACTAAAGAGCCAAACGTCCAGGGAGGCTGCTTGGTCCTTCTATCACGAGCACGCACGCACGCACGCACGCACGCACGCACACGCACGCACGCACGCACGCACGCACACGCACACACACACACACGGTTGCAAAGAAAAAAGCAGAAAAGTGCAGCCATTAGCACAAGCGTCTGTGGTGACTGCACTCTCACAGTAAGTCCCAGCAGTCCTTCAGGGCTGACACCATGACAACAGCTGGCTTGAGCGTTGCATAATGTGAACGACAAACAAACACACACACACACACACACACTGCAGCATGCAGGTGTGTATCAGAGAGACACTCTGCTGGTAGTAACAGTAAGATGGGGAATCACATGATGTAAGGGCTGTATATACCAACATGTGATTTGAGTCCTAAACATGGTGTTAAAAGGTTATTCTACTTTTATATATATAAAAAAATAAATAAATAAATTTAAAAAAAGACCACAAGTGTGGTTTTGCATGTTTCGGCCCATCAACAAACTGTGCATTATTTCAGAACATTTTCAAAAACAAACTGAATGTATTTTTAGATAAATTTTCTGTCCCTCTGCGGTCACCTGTGTCTGTTGATTTCTCTGCAACCGTGAAACCTGCAGTAGATTAAAGTCAAATCTCAGTGAGATAATACACATCACGCTGAACATTTGTTCATTGTTATTTATTAGATAAATTGCACAGGGATACACTTGCAAGTAAGGACTGTTTTGCTAATTAATCTGTGTTGGGCCAGTAAGAACAATAAGTGATCATGAACGTCCTGGAAAAGGAAACGTTAATTAGTTTAGTGCGGAAACAATTAAGTGATTAGTTGTTCGACAGAAACGGAACAATCAAACATCTGGTGTTTAACTGGGTTTTACTACATTGTTAAAAGACGGTCTCCGACTAAAGCTTGCTTATTAAAAATATTTTGGCACAGATTTGAATGTGTGGATGATTTTTTTCATTACGTTTAAGACATCACCTTAGGCTCTGGCAACTTTTGTTGGGCATCTTCCACTATTTTGTGACACTTAAACTGAACGATTAATTTAAAAAAAGAATCACCTGATTAATCAAAACTTTAAATAATCATTACTTGTCAAGTTCTTGCATTAAAACATGACTTCTCAGCAGCAAGATTATAAATTATTGGATGTTGGACTTGCCCAAAATACACTGGAAGAGTATATAAAACCGTCCCTGATCATTATTTTTGCCAGAAAGGAAGTTTGAGGAGATAAAAGTGAAGTCAACTAAATCTTCAAGGATGTGTTTTGGGTATCTGTCAAAGGATGAAATTCAACCAACGGCCTGAAGGTAGGAAATCAATCTGAATGCTTTGGAAATGTTAAACGAACGAGATCCTCCGGGAGGGAAGAAAAATGTAAAACTCCCTGACTTCTAAACATCAGGATCATTTCACAACACAGAGAAAACAAGGCCGCTTTTACAACTTCCTGCCGTTTGGGAAATACCGCTTTTTAACTAGAGTCTATTTTTAAATGTTTTTACAGCTCTATCTTATTCCCAGTATGGCAAATATACCTCGGGGACACCAATTATTCCAGCTGTACATTCTCTTTCAGGAGCTGCTGCCTCTCCTGAAGGCCTGTCAAACTCTGTAATGGTTTGTCAATCGCCCTCTCAGCCTCGTCCAAGCTCCCCTTAAAAAGATGGCAGAAGAGGGGCATGGAGGGGCTCTTTGTAAGTCATTTATCCGACTCATGCACACCAAATCACATAAATGGACTGCCAGGGGCCTAACAGTCAATCAGTCTGCCAGTCAACTGACGAGGTCTCATGATGCTGAGAGGAAGAGGAGCCTATTCAGATGGGAAATATTTCACAGGAATACGACGGAAAGAGAGAATAAAAAGAGAGGAACCGGCGAGCAAGGAGGTAAAATGCTGTCTGAACGTCCAGCAGTGCAGAGCGAAGAGACAGTAATTGTGATATTACCGATTCTCTTTCGTCAAAAAAAAAAAAAAAAAAAATCCAGATTAGTGCCGACTTGCTCCGAGTGCCCTGGACCGCCTAAATGCAGAAGGTTTCAATAGTTAATTGGCCACTGAGCACACCAATAAAAAAAAAAAAAATTCAGAAAATGTAGAAAGAGACGAAGTGGAAGATAAAATGAGGGCTGGCCCGGAGGAAATCCACAGCGACTGTACCACTCACGACCTAACCTTTCTAATCGGTCCTCCTCCTGATCTCGCTGCCAGCTCTCAGTCCCATGACATTCATTCACACAGATTGATTTATATCAGGCAATTATATGAACCTGCCTGAAAGGAAGAGACTGGAGCACTGCGGTGGTGACAGCTCCATCCACAGATGACCGTCTCAAAGGACTTGAAACTCTCTGTTTTTTAGTTGGATATGTGTGTGTGTGTGTGTGTGTGTGTGTGTGAGAGACAAATAGTAGAAAAGACAGTCAAAGCCATTGAGCTGTGTTTCAACTGACAGACAAACTGCATTAAAACACTTGTGTCACAGACAAGAGGAAGCCAACTGAACTGAACTCTACTTGTTCCCAGTACTGTAGCTTTACACTCTGTACAGTCACTCTGTCAATGCAACACTGAGCTCTTTAAACCGACACTGGAGATATTCTGACAACACGACAAAAGGAGACACAACTGTGTGTGCGGTCAGTGCGTTACTGAAATGTTCTTTTCTGCCATTTCTTATTTGTGCCATTTGTTTGAATCTTTCCACTCTGCGGCTCTGGAGTCAACAGCAGTCTAAATGTGGCAATGATTGAGAGTCTAAAGTCTAAACTCATGGTTTGTGAGGGTCTAGAGAGGGAAGTTTAGACACTCAAAAACACAACTATCAACCTCATTTAAGAAAACGTGAGGCAGACAGTCAAATCATGTCTTTTAGAATATAGGAAATTCCAAATTGGCCTCGAAAGGGCTTCACAATCTGGCTTTAGAGCCTCGCTTTGGTGAGGAAGAGAGCGACAGAGGAAGAATCCCTGCAGCATGGACAGACATACAGTAGATGTTAACAGGAATGCCAATAGTACATCAGTGAAGTCATTACAAGCACGGTTATGAATTACAAACTTTTGAATAGCTGAAAACCAGTTGAAGAATTGAGGGGGGGGGTCAACTATATAAAGAGAACATCAAGGACACGATCTACATAACAACAAGATACGTTGTGTTAAGTGACCACATCTTTGCATACATTCCAGGAGTTTCCTTCCACTTACCACACCACTACCTCTTGAAGCAGGTAGACAAGTGAGTCCAATGGGTTTCCCCCATACTAAAGGATTACATCACAGTCACATAGACCACAAGCGTGGACAGGATATGGCTGATTACTCATCTTTAAACAGATCAATCATGCTCAACATCATCAGTGTGTGTTTACAGCTCTGGTTTACTCTAATCAGAGAACGTTTCTTGCTAAATCCTTTCCATGTGAATCACAGCTATAGGCTGCAGCTTTACTCTTTGCCCAGTTCGCCCACATCCCTGTTGATATCTCACGGATTTAAAGACAGTCCACCAAATGAAGCCCCCGATGAGTTGTAACGCGGTGGTGCAGTAAAGTGAAGCAGAAGGGGTCACTGGGTGCTTCAAAATACAGCAATCAGCCAATTGTACACACATTCATGATGCCAATTCTGATACCTTACACCTCTCTGATCAACTCCTCGGCAGATATCCCACAATGAAACGTAAATGATCCAATATTTGAATAAGAGGATAGCCTATTAAAGCCTATGCATATTACAAGTCTGCACAGGACCATTGCATAACTGTCATAAAGATTTTAGGAGATTAAAAATATTCCACCTCGACGACACAGCATCATACCACACCAAAAGTATCACTGTAGAAAGCATTAAGACACACTCAGAGGTCTTAAGCAGCGGTTGTGAAATATTAAGTGCGTCTCACCTGAATCACGTACACATTCCCCGAAGAGAAAGATATGAACGTTTCCTTGAGCTCAAGATAATCCAAGTGGACTTTAAACGCCGAAACACCCTCTCAAACACACAAACACCCACTGAACGACACGCAGTACTAGCAGTGGGACTGACTCGAGGCTCTTCTCCACTCATGTGCCGTCACAGGTGGCCCGCCCTCCCACGACGCTCACCACTTCTTCTCTCCACCTACCTCCGTATCAGGTAGGCCGGTCGTTTTGTTGTTGTTGTTTGATAAAGAGACGGTTCCTGGTTCGCTGTGACACTTTTGTTTGTGAGCTATCGGTATCACGAGATCTAGCCAGCGCGAGGACATTCACACTATTGGGGCAAAGTGGATGCAACCTGTCCAATCAATGCTGCAGGGTGGCGTCACACTGACACCTAGCGCGCACAGAGGGGGGTTACACACAACCAGGTGTGCTGATTGTGGGAGGTCATATACGGTTAACTGACCTGACTGCACCTTATTTACGACTGTGGATTCTACATTTCTCTCGTGAGCACTCCCTGTATTTATTCACTGCTGCATACCTTCAAACGTCGCATACTTTTTATTTTTTACTTTGCAAAGTACATACTGTTGCATGCATTGGGACATACTTTGTCCTAACATTGCACCTCGAACCTTGACCCTCTTGCTCATATATCAGCGGCGCAGAGGATTGTGGGTCAGAATAGCCAGAGAAGCATGCTGACTTGTCTAATGCAAAATGCGACCATATGCAGAGGGACATTCTGTTATTTTTGGCACACTGTATTTGACATACTGCGTATTGGAACATACTGTGTGTGCCAATACCCATACTACCATATTGTTTAGTATGCCAGAAACATATTTAGTATGTTGAAAGAGAGTAAAATCATGGATTTAAGAATCAAGAAAACTCTCCAGATGAGTGATTATGGTGTTCCGTAACTGCTGGAAATGTAACTAAAACTACAATAGCAGTTGAGTTCACCATATAAACTCATATGTCAGAGTTGTGTTGACAAGTCTGTCTCCAAGTAGCCAAAAAAGCTGTTATTCCAGGTTCAAAGATCAATATCAAATGAGATATGCTTACTACAGGTTCACAGAAGACAATGGTCATCACTGCAGCTTTTGTTCTTTTATTTTTTTTATCAAAACACTTTTATGCAAGACTCCCATCACTCACATTCAGGCATGCAGACATAATTCCACTTTACGGTCCTATTCTGTTTCCTTGCCTTCCTCTCCTCCACACCCTCGGGTAAAATATCTAAATTGTCCATCTCTAGATTGGGTGAGATTCATGGTGCAGCATATCTCATATCGCAGTAAATGTGGATGTTATGTACACGGGAGCTCAGCATTTAATGAGGGTGTCTGTGAGGAAAGCCAGATTCATCACTTTGCCCTGTTCTTACACCCAGAGAGAGACAAACCCAATAAAATAACACGCCCAGAGGAGATATACATGGGACTTTAATCATCATATTGCGAAAGACAACAGTACATAGATCAGATATGTATCCGTGTGTATTTACCCTGCAGACCTTCACACTGCTCATAAAAACACAAAGGGCTCGTGTGCTGCAGAGATCAACGAGAGCTCCGATTATGACGAGTAAAACAGCCGCTATCTGTCATTCCACGTATGACTTTCTTTTTGAAAAAAAGTATTTATCAGTGCTTTGAATCCATTATGAATGTGTGTATCAATTATAAATGTAGTGAGTCATGTTCAGTGAGCAGTGTTGATGTTGAATTCAGCCTTTTATCTCAACTCCTTATTGCAATGCAGCAGGGGATTTGTGCAGCATAGGGGGTTGTGCCTTAAACGTTCCTGCTGCATTAACCCCCATAAAGCTCACAAAGGGACCCAACAGAGGAAGACCACTGGAGCTTATGGACCAGGAAGTGTCACTGTGCCTGGTTACCATGGCAACAGAGGTACCTGGGAAAAAGCGGCTGGTTCACATGACAACATACAGTATGTCGTGGATAATAATAAAAGATCTGTCTGCACATAAAACACATAAAACAACAGCACAATGAAATGTGTTTGATGAGAACAGGTCGGCTCAGCAATAAAAGCATTAGTTGCAATAAGAACACCAGCCATATGTAGTAAGATAAAATGTGGTGACATAAATAAAACATAGTACTATACATGTCTGAAAATGAGGGGTGTGTGTAAAAGTACATTACAGTATCCCCAACAGTATTGCACACATTTAAAGAGAAAAAGAAACAAGATATGGGATAAGAATGGGACAAATAGATGGATGAATACAAATATATATACTTACATAAACAAGAGGATTGTGTGTAGTAACTGGCATCTGTAATTCACGTTGATGCCGTTTTTATTTGAAATTGTTCATTTTCTTGGGACTCTTTGTTGGGACCAATATAAAAGAGGTTAAGTCATTTTGTAAATATCTAGTCTTGGGACAGTAAAATAGAAATGGGAACTTTATTTAATGTCTTGCCTGCTTTTTAATTAAGGGCAGAAAACAATCTCCAGTGTTAATGTGAGTTCATTTGTTCAATGCGACGCATGATTAATGCAATAAGGATCTTGTCCGTCCCGATAATGAACACGGCAAATGACACACTCAGGCCTACCAACATGCAAAAATACCCAGAAAATAATTCACCAATCAGTATTTTTTGTTCATACTGAGGTCTTGAGGAGTCCAAAAATAAAACCAAACTTTTTTTTTTGTACTTGTTTGAAATCAACACTTTTTCTAACAAGAAATAAACATCTACTATATTGTACCAGTAGTGTAATACATTAGATAATAAAACGGTGATTAGTGGGGTCCAGTCCTAACACAAAGGCACTGACTCGCTTCATCCCTTACTATTTTCTTGTCAACTTTCAGACTTTGGAAAATGTTTTCATGTAAATGTACCCTGAACTTGTATCTCTTCTTGAGCGCTGATAAGTAGGCAGGTAAACCAGCTGTGGAAATACAGATGTTGGAGCTTAAGATGCAGAACCATTAATAGCTGCTAGAAGCCGTCCTTCCAAAGATCAGACTCCATAAAGACGAACTGAAAAACCCTTTCTTCTTCTTTCTGAAATGTGATGTTTCCACAAAAAAGCTACAATGTCCGTAGCAGTTTGCGTGTCATTATTTCAGCTAGAGTGTCATGGATCCATTCAACACTGCGATCACTAACAACTTACAGGCTCATTTATCTGATAACTATTCCTTCTGTAAACGCAATTGCACGAACAGGAAGCTCAGAGCGGCCTCCATCACAGTGGCACTATAAAAAAAAAAAAAAAAAAAAAAAAAAAAAAAACAGTCAGGATTTGTTTTTCATGACTGTCTATATCAAGATTCATTTACTGTATCACTTATAAAATATGTGTATATTTTATAACCTGCTCCCACACCTCAGACTCTTTTTCCATATTTGGATTGGTGCTCTGGGAGGTGAACAGTCCTCATCGGTCCAGCAGAGGGCAGCAGCAACAGTGTAACAAAACAACAATATGCATTGAGAGCAACATATTTCTACTCACAACAATGAGAAAACTGGAATCTGGTCTGTATTGGTAGTCATACAAGCAGACCATAAAAACTTAGTACAAAGTATTTTATTGTAAATGTTTGAAATACTACAGTACATCTGTGGTTATAGTACTGACAAAAGGGCTAAAGAAAAAAGTAACAAAAATAAATACATCTGCATTGACAGATTAGTGATGGGTACTGTGAAGTCATATTGGATAAGTTCCATCTTTTTTATCTTTTATTTGACTTGAGAAATTGTCTCCGACTTCAGGATGTAGCATCATATTCGCTTACCGATTATTACAAAGGTTTCTGGTATCACGCTTGCCTTCTTACAATATTATATCGTCATGAAATGGCTGTAATAAAATATTATTCTTCATACTGCATGACATCTCCTCCCTGGTCAAAGGGTTTCTAAAGAGCGTGAAAGTCCATTTTCATAAGAATATAATTCCTACAGTAACTTTTCACTAGTTTTTTTTAATGACAGAAATACATGTATACACAGTATCTATGGCATCTCAACCACAATGTATGAAAGCAGACTGGCTTTCTGGGTTTCATAGACCACAGAACAAACAGCAACAGATCAATCAAAAGCTTCGTCACCGGTCCTTTCCACCAATCATCTCATTTTGTTTTTGTTTAGTCAGAACAGTGACGGTCACAACTGAAACGTTACACCTCTAGTGCCGTTATGAAGAGGCACAGTCACTCAACAGTGATGGTGGAAAAAAACAGGCGCCCCAAAGATTGTCCCGGTAAAGGAGCATTTTTAAATCATCATCATCCACTTGTTCGCCTCATGCACTGTAGAGCCCCACGTAGTTTTAAAAGACTATTCAAAAGTGTAAAAATGTCTCGCAATAAGAATACCGCTTGTTCCATTTACATCCCAACATGTTTCTGTCCGTTAAGAAATAGTTTCAGACACTAATTACATAAACAGCAAAAACAGTGGAATAAAAGGGAAACAATGTCAATGGCGACTTAAGTACACAGTACACAGTGTGGCCTGGAAAAATAAGTGAGGGAGAATCCCTCTGTCGTAGATACAGAAAAAAAAAGTGCCAGAAAGAGTTCATAGTTGATCCTTCATATTGTTTGGTCTGTCTCCGTCTCCGTCTCTTCATTATAGCAGTGTCCTTCTCTTCCCCAGTCTGTTAAAGCCTGTGTGTGTGTGTGTGTGTGTGTGTGTGTGTGTGTGTGTGTTTTGGAGAGTTCTGGGACACTGGAATGCGCAGCGTTTTAAGCCAAGGTTCTCTGTCTTGGCTTTATTCTGGGATAGAGCTGTTAAGAGACAACAAGAAGACAACAATGTCAACAATGCACATTTGTTCATGACATAATAAACACACTTGTCTTCATTACAGTTTCAGTGACTCGTGACTCACCCCGAGGAGGTTGCGGGGAATATACCCCTCGGTGTCAGCCATGTGCGCCCACCACCATTCTATCTCGTCCTCGTCCTCCCTTCGGACGATGGTCATGCAGTCTCCCTCGCGGAACATCAGTTCATCGGGGTTTTCATCACTGTAGTCCCACAGACCGTAGATCACTCCCCTGTTCATGATGCCCATCTTCTCTTGCACACCTTTTTAAAATAACAGAAAAATAATTAACAGTGAGTTTTTCACAGAAACATAAGACACAGGACAGAATTCAAATTAAATTAGTATGAGGAACAAAGTATGCGTAACAAAAACAAAGAAATAAAAAATAATAACACCGCTTTTACTGACCGTAGAGGAACTGGGAGCACTGGGTGTAGCCTTCCTCCATCTCTTCACATTTATCAGCTGCCGTTTGCATGTCACTGTAAGTCATAGCAAACACTGCTGCACCAGACTCCACCAGGAACTTGCACACTTGCACATTGTTACAGGATGCAGCACAGTGAAGAGGGGTCCTGTGTTAGAGGGTGGGTGAAAAAGGAGGTAAGGACAGAGGATACGAGAGTGGGAGATGAGAAACACCAACCACTAGGAGTAGTTCTGTTGTTAACCAGCTCATACTGCTAGATTATGCTCAAAGTTAAGTTGAAGAAAAAACAACAACATGTAGCCTATTGATAACCGTTTGGACTGATCTGAGAACTTACCAGCCGTCACTGTCAGCAGCATTGACATTGACACCAAACTGAACCAGAAACTTGACGATCTCCGTATGTCCGGCACAGACAGCATTGTGTAGGGCAGTGATTCCTTCATCGTTGGGCAGACTGGGATCTTCCACCTGTGAATGAGGAATCACAATGAGTTAAAAGAGTTTCATTTCAGCACCAGCAAAAGCTGACTAACACAGCAGAAAAACAAGTAAAAAAAAAACCTACTTTTTGATGTGATTTTAAACATTATAACCATGTTATTATAATACATAAATGTTTCTTACTTCATAGATGATTCTCTGGACCAGGTCAAATTCTCCCTCCAGAGAAGAGTCCAGCAGCAGAGCCAGTGGGTTGAACTTCACTCTCATGTTGTGCTCAATGCGTTCAGAGCCGAGCTTGCGCAAGTTGGTCCTCTTTCCCTAAAGACACAATCATAACGGTGTATCACACAAATGATCCCAAACAGCCGTTACAAACACAGAGACATGTAAACAGATGTGAGAGTCTCATCCTGAAGTGCGTCCACTCTCTGCTGGGTTCAATCTGGACTGAGAGCAGAAGGAGGGACTTGTTTTCCGGCTCTAAATGCATTTCTAATCCAGTTTATCCAGAAGCAAATTCGTTCCTCTAAAACCACGATTATGCAACCAAATGGGTCTTAAATGGAGGTGACAAAAGGAGGGAAAATGAGTCATAATGTTTATTTCTCATTGGTTTGTAAACCTGCCACCTCACCATAAATCCACTAAATGAGTTTCACTAGGAGATTAACAACAAGAACATGTAAACTGGTGTTTGCTTTCAACACAGAACGGGGGAGAGTAGGGTGGGTATCCGCTTAGTGTAAGGAGAATAAGGCCCATTTTTCTCCAGAAACAATAGCAGTACTTGATAGGGATTATCAAATTATATAACATCAGACCAGGTCACTGGTCATTAGCAGGTCATTAAAAACTAGAATGTGTACGAACTGTAACTCATGACCTGTCGCTGTGGTACTAACAAAACATGTGAGGGGATTTAAAAACACACGTAGCACAAAAGCACACAAGGATAATCTATACTGTAGACTCTGGGCATCATAATTGTGATTCATACCGGTGGCAGCGTGACCTGGCCAGTGACCTCAGGCGCCTTCATGTTGAAGGTGTCCTCTCCCAAGCTGTCCTGCTCTCCTCCACTGGGGTATGGGGGTGGTGGGTACGGGGGGAACTCCTCCAGGAAGCCGTCTGGAGGCGGAGGAGGCAGGTTGGCCATTGCATCCTCCGAGCCAGCTAGGGGTGGAGGTGGGAAAAGAGCGTCATCTGGCCTGGGGGCCGGGTGGGATGGGGGAGGAGGGGGGATAATGTCCTCGCTCTGGTGCATGGCTGAAGGTAGTTTGGGCTGTTCAGCGGGGCCTGGAACGGGCACTTTAGCACCTGGGATGTGAGACGGGAGCTGTCCTGCCTCCAGAGTCTGTCCCGTCTCCGATGGGCGGTTCTCTGCACCACTCGGACCATGTGGCCCCACTGACCCCTCGGCCGCCTTCTCTGCTTCACCAGTATAGGTTGGCGTAGTCACAGTCTCCATGGCTGCCAGCGTGGTCTTCTGGTAGAGGAGTTTCTGAATGTTGGGCCCAGCAGGACCCTCCGGTTCAGTGATGGAGCTGCGTTTCTTCAAGGGCCTCGGGGCATTGTAGAGCTTCTTCCTCAGGGCTTCCAGGTCACCATCGTTCTGATGCCTGTAGGGATTGGAAATGAAGGGAAGCAGCTTGGTGGGGCTGAGGGGCCGGGGGGTGCGTTCCGTTTCAGTTTGGGGAACCTCAGACGGGCTGGGACCCACGTTGTTGGGTCCACTGTGGTCAACATCGGATTCTAGGCCGGGGGAGCGCCGGTCCGTGTAAGGGTTCTCTGGATGTGGGGAGCCTCCACCGGGGATCACTGGTTTACCATACACTACAAACAGAGATAGGAAACAAACGTCATGACGGCCATGTCTTTAGAGATACCAACAATACCACACTGATGACGTAGGGACTGACCCTGTGCTCTCATGATATCAAAATGAAAGTCATCATGCTAATTAATGGTTTCATCCCGTACTTTAACCCTGCCACCTGACTTACCAAGCCTGTGAGACTAGTGTCAGGTCAGCAAAGCGCTACGCAGTGATAAACCCCATTAAGACGGATCTGATAAAGATAGTCTTTCCTCCAATACACTACTTGTCTTTTGTATCAGTTTCTAAACCTGTAGCCTAATGACATTTTTGTATTAAATATAAATCATTGCTTATAGAGAGCATTGGTCAAGAATGTTCACCTGATGCGAATATCAGTTTTTAGATGCACTTGATGTACTGTTCTGGTCATTTGTCTTTGAACTTATGCATTGAGACATTAAGCAATACACACCTACATAATCAGTTTTTATATATTAAATAGCATGTCATACCTTACGTAATTATACTGGACCTATATACTCATATTGAACTTATTCTGTGCTATCTATTCAGACTTTAGACCATCTACTTTGTCTTTTCCATCCACGGCTTCCATTGCATCTCTGTCAGGAGGGTTTCTTATATGACTTTGCAAAATACTATTGTATTCATTTTACAGAGCTAGCGTGGATTACAAGAAAATCCTCAGTATTTTTGTTCCATGGTATTTCCACTATTACAGTCAGAAGCTGCAGGTTCGGTTGCCTGCGATTGCGTTTGTAGAGTGAAGATCTAACAGATGGCTCAGCCTCTCTAGCTGCTCCTCTGGTCAGTGGCGTGTGAATATTGTCTTCCAGGCAGCAGGGTATATTTACCTTAAGGTGAATATATCTCGTGACACAAGACAGCACTTTTCTTAACCCTTGTTTACATCATACCTAGTCAGTCTTCAGATATCATTTTTATTCCACCGAGAGGGATACTGTGTACAGGATCTATACTCTCACTAGAGATGACTCGCAGTGGATTTATGTCTAATTCAAGGTGTGACCCTCTATTTCTGCATGTAATCTAAATACACTTTGTAAAAAAGAATGACCCCATTTCATCTGTGTCACCTCAACTATTCAAGCTCTAAACTTAAAAAAAACAAAAAAGTTACAACTGGATGTTCTTACCACTGACAAATCCGTTGGTGCGGCTCTGAGACCTGATGAGCGCGCCCTGCACACCAGGCTGACTGAAGGGCTTCCCTGCGCCCGGCTGCTGGGTGTACATGGAGTAAATGGAGCTGGCCGCTACGGTCTGAGGCTTACTCATGCTGCCGTCTTTGGAGGAGGGCAGCTCTGGGGTGAAGGGCCGTACGGTGGCTTCAGGTGGAGTGTCCTGCTTGGAGGGCAGGGGGAGTGTCTGGCTCTGTGAGGGTGTGAGAGGGTTGCGGCCCTGTGCCGCCTGGGGCTGCTGGCTGTGGGGCTTGGTTTTGGGGAAGGTGCCTGTGTTGAGACCCGGTTTGGCGTAGGGCATGACACCGGGGCCTTTTGGTTTAGTGGGAACAGGAGGAGGCACCTTGACTGGAGCTTTGGGAGCAGACTAGATAGAGATAGATAGATAGAGAGGTATTAATGTTGGTAATTACTAAATTAGATTTTTTTTTTACTGTGAGGATGTAAAGACAATGTTTCCATTTCCCCTCACCTGAGCATCCCTGACCAGGTCATCGCTGCTCTGGTTTTTGCGGAGGGAGGTGGTGGGAACCTCCGTTGGCTCAAACATGGAAAATGGACGCACCTTCCTGTCCCTCTTCTGTTCCGTCTCGTCTATGCAAAAACCACAAGTAGAGGCAGTAATCAGTTTCGTCTCATGTTCAGACACAGTGGGACTAGAACAGAAGAACTCCAGAAGCCCCTTTGGGAGCTGTTGTTCTGTCACATTACTGTAGTTTCCCTTCCAGTAAGGATTTGTAGTGCCGTATCTCTTGAGAGGCTGTATGTGCATGTGTGTTTGTCTCGTACCTTGTTCTGTGTTAGAGTTGGAGTGAGAGGTCATTCGTGGCAGTGTTGAAGCAGGACCATGACCGTTGAATTCTGGACCTGAAGAGCCCCAGTCTGCCAGCTTGGATGGCTGAAGGCCTGTGGGACCGGCAAGAGATGCCAGAGAGAAGAAAGCAAAAATTAAAAAAGGGAGAGAATTTAATGTTAGTATGAAATACCATTTATTTTTTTACATAAGAATAAGAAAACAAATGACCAGTACACAGATTGGAAACTAGCTTCAGCCATTGTTTATCCAGATAAACAAACACAGAGCTGTGTGTTATGCAGTCACACAGAACAAACAATCAAGGATTTTTTAGAATTTTTTTTTTTTTTTTTTTTAAATTTTGAAGTATTTGGCCTTTCTTGTTACTCATCATTTGTTGTTTTGGTTGACTGACTAAGACCCAGCCAGTGGCCATGCATGTTCGCAGACATCCACAGTGAGATGAGCCACAAAAGCACGGGGCTCTTGCAACTAACAAGATTAGCATCACATCAAAGATGGTAAAACAAGCCTGCAGACTGTAGCTAAATGCTCCCTCTCAAGAGGTGTCTGTCTCTCACACACACACACACACACACACACACACACACACACACACGCACACGCACACGCACACGCACACACACACACACACACACACACACACACACACAGAATGTCAGTTCAACTGAAGGTTATGTATTTGTTCCAACTGACCCATTTAGAGCGGCAGACAGAGAACTGAGGAAAAAGCTCAACAAACACGCTTTAACAAACAGCAGCAAAACAAGGAAACAGGACCGAAGATCCAGCTAGGAAATGATGAGAATAGCTCATCTTTTTCAGTGAGAATCACTCGTGAAGAATAAACACAAAGCCACAAACGGTGAGTACCTTTTCTCTTAGCCCGCAGCTCTTTCAGAGGTGTAAGCAACAACATGGCTTCTGAGGAAGATGCATTCAAAAGACAAGAAAGACAAAAGTAGCCTTAGCGCTCTAAATCCTCCTTTGCTCTAGACAGCTGTTGGCTGGGCCCATGCAGGGGCCCGTTGAGGGGCCACGCAGAGACCAGCACAACCCCCAGGAGCCTGCCTGATTCTATGCACAACTTCCCAGCTGGAGAAGAACCGGGGAATGGGTGCACACTATGAGCAGATTCCTCTGCATCTCCGCCCATCCCCATCTCTCTTCTGCCCATACTACAAATCAACTCAGCATGCAGAAATAATTGCGTGCAACATCATGACAGACTGGGAAAAACCTTGTTACTTCTACTTCCTGCATGTGGAATGCTTTAAAATAGGAAAACATGGACTGATGAGGAAGTGAGAGGGGGAATAAGGGAGGGGGGGGGGGTGGGGGGCTTTTCTAATTCTTGTGTTGGATCATTCATTTTTAATAACATAAAGCACACTGCTGGCCCACTATCCACTGGGGGACTGATTTAGGTCTAAGAGAGCGAGACTAGATGGCACAAAGAACATCTGTAAGTGGGATATGTTGCTCTGGTCCGTCATTGGTTTTGACAGACTTCAGTTCCACTCCATTACACAGCACACATGCTACGGTGCTGGTGGAACAACAGCTTACTTTGTACCGTTTCTCAAACTTGATTTTTAAAAGAAGCGAGGCATAAAGAGACACACACACACACACACACACACACACACACACCGGGGGCAATGGTTCAAAAATTGGTTCACTCACTGCAAAACGTATCAAGAGTTATTTCGAAAATGTAAGGAGACCGGAAGTTCAGGCTCCGCAATACTGGGTCACACCACACCATCCAGGAAGTAACTAGATACCTTCTGAGCTCAGACTGACATCACAACCAGCTGCTGTCCCAGACTCGTCTGCTCCTGCTGGAGGCAGGACAGTCTCTCAAGGAAATGCAGTAACATTTCAATTAAAAACAAAACAAATAACATACCAAATTCCATGATGACACTCACAACGACACACAGGGAACAATAGTTAAAGAATATCTCCTTTCAAGTTTGTGATCTGAAAATTACAGCTGCTGAGGGAGCGCTAAATTGAGTTGAAGAAAGAAGTGACAAAGTGAAGGATCGCCAAGTCAGAGATTTGAGTCGTGACCCTAAAAGGTAAAGAGGGTGAAAGGCTGCAAACGATGTGCTCACCTGTGCCGGCCTTGCTCTGCGGGTCGTGGACCGGAAGGGTGGCGGTGCCGTCGGGGTAGGCCGGTTTTACAAGCAGGTCATGCCTCACTGGGCCCCTGGGCATGGTGGACGACTGGATGTACGGGCCAACCGCTGCCACGCGAGATGGACCCGACTGCTGCCCGGCTGGACCCTCAGAGGTAACCTGCACGGAGGAAGGATCAGAGGAGCGACTAAAGGTCAGCGAGAGCAATCTTAAGCAACTTGTATTACGGCAGACAGCAGAAAGAGAGAACACACTATTTAGATATAAATATAAACTTAGGCCTGAGGGTAGCGCCAGACAACCGTGTTGTTACTCAAACCGAAAGGATTGATTCTGCTTAGCGTGGAAGTGTTTAAAGATCTGTAAGGCAGTTACTTGTTACTGAATAACCATATTGCTTCAAGAAAATGCATGGATTACTGTTACTGCTGTAGAATGAGTCAGCTTACCCAGATTTATTCATTATTCATGTTATTAGCATGCTGCTTTTCATAAAACGTGTTGCAATTGAAAATCACGCAGGGATTTTAAAGCAGCTAAGATAGGAGAGGGCTCTCCATATTGGACAGGTGATGTAAAATCCTCACTGACGGGACAACCTCTTACATCCTGCAGCTGAATTTGAGGCTTTGAAGTTAGAGGACAGTAACTGTGTCATCGATACAACATCCCACAGAAGAAAACAAACGCCTGTAAACCTGGGTTAAAAGCTTTCTAAAACAACTCCTTGACAAAAACGTATCCTACAGCTAACGTCATTACGACAAGCTGTCTCTTTAAGACAAGATGAACATGGCTCACGTTGCCCAAAAATAACTAAATGGAATCTGATGTGCCGAGTCATGCCGAAGAGATCAGGTGAGAAAGAAAAGAGACGCACGTGTTCAGCTCCAATTCTAGTGTAGTTACCTGAAGATGAGTGTCTTTTGAAGCCCTCTCTTTACCGGGATAGCCATTCTTGAAAAAAAAGCACAAACATGCAACAGCAGTTCAAATCACCGAATAATCCCCCTTTTTCGAATCTAACGAGCATTTTCCAAGTGTCTCCTGAACTGTGTCACTCTAAGCCGGTGCAGGATGGCCTCTATGTGTCAGAGCTCGGACTACCTCTCTTCAGTCAGTGTTGTGTGATGTCAGCCGGACGCTTGCTGTTTGGTTGGAGGAGAGAGAGCAGCTTGGATGGAGTGTGTCTTTGTGCTAGTGTGAAAAAGGCCCAGTCATTATGATTCCAGGCAGGGTTGTTGGTAAATCCCCTCCTCACTAGGGCCTATTCAGGCCTTCATCTCTAAACCACACACACACACACACACACACACACCTTTCTCTCTTCTGTTCCTACTTTACTATGGATGTCGGAGGGACATCAAAAGAGAAGTTGGGCTTCTTTAAAGTTGGATTAGAGGTGCAAGTTGCTACTTTATCTAAAAGGCTTTCAGCAGAGCTTCAGTAGGATTTGTTAAATATCCATTACATTTATTATTTACGTTCTAACTTATAGGTCACTTAGGATCGTGTACACTGTATTTGGCAAAGGAGGTAAAAACACAGAGAAAAGAATCTGATGGCATTGAATACAAACAGCTTTGTGATTTGCACTACAAAGTTATGAATCAGCGTTCTATAATTAAAATCAATCTTTGAGGTTAATTGGTTGAAGGTTAATTTGGTTGAAAGAAAGAAAGTTAATGGTGAAGGCCAATGGAACCCCTTAATTATGTCTGAGAGGAAGTCAACCCCATCAGGAGTACATAGTTAGGGTTAATTACATACATAATTAAAGAAATGACTGCATAGAGGACAAAGTAAAGTGACTTGTGTTAATAAGAGGATAAAACATAAAATCATCCATCATCCAATCAGAATGATTATGTTTTCTTTTTGGCCACCCTTACACCTTTGCCATCCCAACACAAGCATCCTCGAGCAGTAAATATGTTAATTCTTCTTCCACACAAGTCTGTTGACTCTACTTTACAGTCCCAAGGCAACCTGTTTTCAAAACAATTCCTGGAAAGTGGAGAGGGGAGCAGAGGAGACACCAGGCAGCGAACTCTGAGCCAAAACTTGAAAACCAATTACAGCTAGTGCAAAGACCCTGCTATGTATTTAATGTCAAATGTGTTTTGAAAAGCCAATGTTTTCTTATTAAGATGGTTCTTGCTGTTACTAAACTGATTATTTGCCTTTTCCTGTGTCCGTGGAGCCAAATAAGATAGCATCTCCCCTGACATTCCTGCCTGCCTGCACTCATTACTCCTCTCTCTCATCTTCAGAAGTTGTTTCCGCCAAATGGGACTGAAAACACAGCCGAGTGAAGAAGTTGAGAGCGTAAACTCAGATGCAACTCTGTGTGCATGATCAACCCTACGATCAATCCCCACCAGCCATCTCAGATAGAGAGAGATCAAAGAATGGAAAGAGGCGGACAGGAGTGGACTCCCTCGACAGAGAGGGGGGGGGGGGGGGGGTCACTTGGGATTTCCCCACACAGGAGATAGCTTACGTTGACATGGGCGAGCTCTGAATGCCAGGGCATCTGAGGCTTCCGGGTGTAAAGAGAGATACAAACACCCTTTAATATCTGGCCATGAGGGGGAGCTCTCATGAAAAACATTTCCATCACTTTCTTTGCATATATGACAGAATAACACTCAAAGCTAACTGAACGTTCACAAAATACTGAGATGAGGGGGGGGGGGGGTTCTGTATTAGGTTATGAGAATGTTTTTTTTATGCTGTTGTGGCGTAATAATACTTACAGGCAAGTTCTCTTTCTGCTGCAGCGCCGCCTTCTTCTTCCACAGCCGATCTCTGAGCTCAATGATCCGTTTGTCCATCGCAGCCACCTCCAGGTTGCGTTTGTTCAGGCCCTCTCTCTGATGCTGCAACTTAGAGTTCTGATCCTGGTTGAGCTTATTCCTCAGCTGGCCGGGGAAGATGAGGACAAAGACGAGACATACGTTCAATGTTTGTGCTCATTTAAAACAAATGCCGTCTTTGGAGCTCAATTTTTTGGTGTTGAATTGAATGGAGTCTGTATTATTTCTGCACACCTGTAGCTCCTTGTAGAGGCGGTCTAGTTCAGCCACAGAGCTCTGGTTGTCGTGGAAGTTGTCCATTTTGCCATTTTTGAGCAACTCCAGCTGACGGCCAAGCTCCTCCACCTTGGAAGCAGCCATCACTAGTTCTCTCTGCTTCTGCTGGAACAAGTTGTTCATCTGCTCGATCTCTTCCACTGGAGAGGGAGAGGCATGAAGACGAGAGGAAGATAAGGTGTGAAGATGATGGAGGCAGGGAAGTGTGAGAAACAATATCACCAAGACAGAAAGTCAAAAGGAGTGTGTCTTAATATATTAAAATCAAATCGTACATGCTTCTAAATCCCGAGCAGGCACCCATTCATAAAATCCATTAAGTCCATTAGCGTACCCAGTTTGCCGTTGCTGAGGCGTTTCTGCTCCACTTGGCCCTTGAGGGCCCGGACCTTCTTGAGCCGAGTCTCCTGGTTCTCGATGTTCTCTCGGAGGCGCTGCAGCTTTTCCTGCTCAGAGGCTTGCTGCTGCTGCCGCTGCTCCTGCTGCTTCAAGTAGCGCAGCCGTTGCTCCTGGAAAGACAGAAGAGCGGAGCGTGGCGCAAAGGTCAGAAACATAATGAATCAGACACATCCCTCATAACTTTAATTTATGAGTAATCCACGGCCGAGTGTCCTCAGGCAAAGCACTGGACTTAGATGTGAGGGGCTAGCAGCTGTAAGAACACGACCCTGTAGCTCCTGAAGGGCTGTTATGAATGCATTTTATGACAACATGCTTGGTTAAACAAGAGTAAAGAAAACGTTCTGTGGAGCTAAACATTGTAAAACATTCAAAACCAATAGTCAGACTTGAACTCTGACGCACTGTTCTGAACACCTGTCCTAGCTCTCCCAAACAGGTTCTGAGAAAGAACACAGTTTCTGTCGGGGACTGTAGCGGATGATGTGTGCCGATGGTAATGCCTGTTTGTTTACTTATAAGAGTGACTCGTCAGTGTTCATGACTGTCTGGAGCTACATTCCTTGGCTTGCTAAATCATTCGCAGACAAAAGTTGATTGGATCAGAATGCTTAAGGGTTAATGACACAGGTTGCAATTGGCAGAACGTATTGAAGCATGTGTATAGAAACTAAACAGAAAGACACAAGTTGCTTTTTAAGTTATCTTAATACAGTGGATATCTCTGGATCAGCAGATCAGAAACATTTTTAGGTGCCTCAGCAAGAAGGAAGAAAAATGGTCAGCCAAGTATTTCGTTATAGCGCGTCCTGTTTTCTGTCAAATTTCTTTCCCACAGTCACCAATAAATCCTGAGCAAAATGAGAAACAAGTCCTAGACAAGGAAAAAAATGGCGCTTCAAATATGAGAGGAGTGCTGCACAGTGAGAATCAAAAGGCAGGCAGCTGTCTCAGGCGTCTCAAATTATAAACACTACACCTGCAGCCATCCAAAACTCATCTGACCCGTCTATCACATGCACCACGTGCACTCTGTCTCAGCATTCTAGTTTCCCCTAAGTGCACTAGACTTGTTTCAGTACCTTTGTTTTGTGTACCATCTGCCCCACTTTATCCCAATTACCCCCTCTTTAATCTAGCTCCATTCTTTTTGTCCCCCCCCCCCTCTCCTCTCTGGCTTTTACTTTCATCTCCACCATTTAAACCTCTCCATCCCCTGAATCCACCCGTCTCTCTACCGGTCCCCACCTCCCCTTTCATCCTGCGCTGCGTCCTAACTCACCTTGGAGGCGAGGAGCTGTTGTTGACTTTCTATTTGTTGCTGCTGCCTGGCAGCCATCTCTTGTAGTTCGGCCAGCGTCATGTCCATCCGGGGTGTTGTTGCCACCTGAGGTTGATAGATTGACAATAGACACATCTTGTGTTGTAATACACACTCTGTTGACAGTCGTTCAAGGTCTAGTACAAGGAAGCAAGTGTAGCATTGAAGGAAAGCAAAGGCAGCAGCAGACAACCACATAGGTGGAGCAATCCCTTTGTAGTTCCACAAAAAAAGACATTTTGGATTCAGGATTCATTGAACATGTTCGATGTTATGATGCAAAGATTAATTTTTCATTTGCATTTTAAGTGTTTTTTTGAATTGAATTAATTAGTACCCTTTAGGAAATAATCACGTTGGCTCCTTGTTCAGTACAAAGAAAGAAAACAAACCAGGTCACAGAATTTATGTTAATAATAAAATCTGTGACCCACATGACGGGAATAAAAATGAAACAGTCGGTGGAGATGCATCGAAAACATCTTCGACTTGCGATTAGTAAGTGAAGATATGATTGCAATGTTATTGCAATGATGGGCAGTAAAAAGTCTTTGTAAATGAGTCCCAACGCGTTTGTTCTTCTTCTTAAACTTAAGAATAAAATAAAATGTGTGCTAAAGTACGGATAAGGTGTTGTCAGTGGGTCAGATGAAATATTGTGTGAGAATAAATCAAAGTTCTTCTCTCAACAATGGGACGATCCTGCTGAAAGTATTTTGAATTGTCTAAAACATAAGACCCACAAACTCACCCCGTTTTCCATTCTTCTGTCTGGAGGACCCTTCACTCCATTCCTCTTCTGCTCGGAGCCTCTTGGCCCACCTGAGTAACACAAAAGAAGACTCAATCAGACATCACAATCTACTGTCGGTCTTCATCTAAGGCGACGGCCTCATCACTGTCTCTAACAAACATGGGCACACACACTGTACGGCCTTCTCTGGACTTGCTGCAGAAGAGATTGCGGATCAGTAGACGGCTAGCGCAGAATGATCCTAGCTCCTCTGGGAAACAACTGGGATCAGTGTTCTTTGTGACTTGCAGTAATCTCGGGATTTAACCTAATACATAATCGTCTGGCGGTGGGTCCAACAACTGTGTGGTGCCTGTCTGTGTTTATAAATGCACTTATATCCTACAATGCTACGGGCATTTGGTGGCTGAGAGGAGGGGTCTGGCAATCCAGATCTCATCCTTAAAGCCTTGGCCCATGACCAAAGCCCTTTAGCGTGCATCATGGTTTTAGATGACCTTTGACATACAGAATGCTTGTTAAATACATGCACTGGTTAGTGTTAGTGCTAAGGCTCAATAAGTGTCATTGAGTGTGAAGGTATTTAGCTAGCTCACTTTAGCGGAGAATACATTTAGTCCTCTGACCCGGTGAAAAAGAAAACACCGGCATAACAACAGGAAGTGTGAACTTTTAACTGACTCTGAGTACAGTACAATACTATGTCCATAAATAATATCACCACAGAAACAGGAGCCCACATTAACCCATCCTCTGTGTTACGCACACTGAGCAGAGCTAAGCTAACAGTGTGGGAAAACAAGAGCGAGCTAAGATAACAGGAAGGGAAAGCAGCCATCTAATCCCTGGGCCAGACTCAAGCTGTGAGGGGTAAGCTTAGTTACGCAACTGTGAGCTGAGAGGATAGCGCACGACCAAAATACTAGAGTTTTCTGTGTTCCTAAGAAAACTGAAAAGTAACAGGCTTATGACGATGTGACCGGGTCACCCCGGCCTCCAACAGTACGGCTAAATGAGGCTTGTTCAAGATGTGAGGCCTGCTAATATAAAACCCTTCTCCAGGATAAAGCAGTGTTCAGAGTACCGCCATCGTTCTCATGTTAAGGCTTTCATGAATCCTTAACGCCAGAGTGGATGTGTGTACGTTCAGAGGCTGCAGGCATCTCTGGAGTTTACTACGTTGGTGTCAAATGTCTTTTCTCTGGGGAATGCCTTCGTCCAAATCATGGCTCGTATGTGAGAGACTGTCCAAACCCTCGCTTCTAACCTGTATGTGTGTTGGAGATGGGACTCTTACCCGATTCCCTGCCAGGGGCTCGATTGTGACGCAGGAAGAAGCGCACCTCTGCCCGGTGTTGTCCCCATCGCTGGAGCACATCCAGCATCCTCTCCCCGTCACCTACAGCTCGCTCTGCAGACAGAATACACAAATATGTCAGCGAGATAGAAGCACACCCATAAACTCATTTCAACATGTGACTATACCAATCAGGTCAGGTGCGCTTTGTAAAATCCTGTTGCCCGACACTTTTGGCCAACACAGAGGAGATTCATTTCTGCATCTAGTTGATCTTTGTGAGTAACGACCTCGAGGGAAAACAACTGTGATGTGTTGTCAGTTATTGTGTCTGGTACTGAGCCAAAGGGCTCATCGTGCATTCCTCAGACATCGTCTTCAACCTGCTGAAGACCATTTCATCACACAAATGGACCGACACATTACAGTCGAGCAGAGGTCAATGAAGCGGATGTATCATAAACGGCACGACTGCAAAAACAAAGTCAGAAGACTGGTGAAATATTCGGTTTATTAATAGCTTTACATCTAAATGTGATGCTAAATGTCAGCAGTGGTCTGTAAAGAAACGGCAGCAAAATGAGACAATCTTTTCAGACTACTTGAGGAAGTACTCAAACAATAATTGGCACTTTCTTCAGTCTTATGGCAGCGTCACCATGGAAACAGCTAGGAAGCTTGGCTCCTTGAGTTTTGATTGTGACTCTCAGAGACGGAGGAAAGAGGGGAAGCATGAGATCTCTCTCCCCCCTCCTTCCACCTGAGAGATGTGGGAGATGTCTGGCTGCTTGTGTTTGTTACGGGGATTATGGGCTCTGCTTCATTTGCATTGTGGACCCAAAAGAGAGATAAGCCCTTCAAAAAGAAATTACTGAGCAGTTGACCACCCAGCTAATCTCCATATATGGTCTACTTCAGAAAAAGCAATTTCCCTCTAATTAAAAGGAAGAGGACAAACAAGTGTCTGCACACTGACTCCAGTCTCTTGGGATACATCCAGAATATTCCACGACCAAAATAGCATGTGACTGAAAATCCCATGTCCACTTCACTGTGGGTAGATGGATGAGGACTGGACTCACCAGATCCACGCCACATCTCAGAGAGGTGACAGTCAGCCTCTCCCGGCTCCTTGCACAAATCCACCACGTCCCGGCACAGCGTCTCCGGCGTAACGGGGACCTCAGTAAAATGCTGGTCATTGTTACTGAGGTATACTGTCAGGAACATCTGGGGACGAAAGAGAGAGAGAAAGAGAAAGAGAGAGGCAGATTAGATGGAGAAGTTAAATAGCAGAAGACAGGAGTGAGTGAGTGAGTGAGTGAGTGAGTGAGTGTGTTTCACTTTGTACTGCTACAGTCTTGACCTTAATATGACAGCATTCAACTTTACATAAGGTAACAAGAAGACTTATTCAACCCATTAGTTAGATCGTGTCCGGTTAACGTAAAGGGTAAAGGGGTGCATATCTGAAAGGAACAACAGATATATATATATAGATATATCTATATCTATATCTATATCTATATCTATAGATATAGATATAGATATAGATATAGATATAGATATATAGATATATAGATATATAGATATATATAAATATATAAATAAATAAAACAGTATCTATTCCCAGCTCTCATTCCTCTAATCATCGGAGGCCAGCTCTCAGAATTCCCCTTTACCCCATGTCATCTAAGTGCTAACTAGTGCTGTCACCACTGTGAGAGATCTCTCTATCTCCACACACACACACACACACACACACACACACACACACACACACACACACACACACCCCTGCCAAGCACTCTCCAGGGACGGCCACTGAGGATTCTTGAGTTGTCCGTGTGTGACTGACAGATGGTAAAGACCGGTTTAGGACTATCTAAAAAAGAAAGCAGTACTATCTCAATGAAGATGTCACAGCTGAAGAAGTGGGCTGTGAAAGCCTTCAGCTACTGCGGGAAAACAACAACACTGAGCAGAAAATTGAGCTGTCTGACAGCAAGCGTCCCGAAAGCTGGAATTTCTGTCACATTCCAAACTGAAGCTTTAACAACATCTGCATTGTTTTCAAAAGGAGTTCTCAAATCAATACTTGTACAGGATATTGTTATTTATCTTCATAGTTATAACAGGCATTGTGTGTATAATTTAAAAAAAAAAGACAGAAGACCTACGTCAAACTCAAAGCCGTCACAATCTATTTACACCTCTGGGAGTGAAACATAATGTTCTGCTTATGCAATCCTAAGCTATACAAACACAGACAGTAAACATGTCTCATGTAGATGTACGACGCTGTTAGGACTGTGCGGGAATATGATCCCATCTGTAATGTCATCACACGAAAAGGAGAGCGAGAGCTTTGACAAGGCTGTAATAAAACCAATATTAGGACATAACATAGCCGACTTGGGGCAATGCACGAATTTAACTTATTGAAATGTTCTGTATTAGCCTAAAAATCAGCAGCCAAAGAACTAGAATAACCTGGAAAGTGTGTGATTGTTTGAATAGTATTGTTTGCGTCCTAAACCTCCAGGTTTGGACTGCCAGGTTTTTTCTATTCTCAGCACTCTGCCGTGAACAGCCGAGCCTACAGGGGGCCATGGTGGGAGATCAGGTCAGCGGGGTCACGAGCACAAAGGGCTCGGGGGGGGTGGAGCAGCTGCAGCCACGGCGCAGAAACAAAAAGTATTGCTTTTGAACTGTGGGGTGCACTGCGCAAAAGCACAAAAGCCTCAAGATAAATGGCTTTATTCCTCTTTTCTTCTTCAAATGGAGCTTACCAAGTGAGCGGTCAGGTGACATGCGTCCTCTAAATCTCTTTAGCAACGTACACAACCGGAAAAGGTTTGCTTTTCTTTTCTTCATGGTGAAGGTGGAAACGAGGGGCAGCGGTCTGACTCAACTGGTTTGCTCCATAGAGATGTAAATGAAAGATGCCCCATCAATAGATGAGTGAGTCATCCACGTCGGTAATCTACAGTACAGACCCGGTATTCCTCACCGGCCATATAAGACCCAACAGCTCCTAGTGAAAGACCACCCCGGAGAACAAAGCCAAAACCAAAGACTTCTCCTTTCCTGCTTCTCAGAACAGCTTTACTGTTTGTAGGTATGTCGCTGAGAACTAAACCGTTATCGGGTAACATGATAAATGACATCATAAGGGGGCTATAATCAAAATAAAACCTCAACTGGCAACAGTTTCATGTAGTCTGCTATTGAGAGATCAGCACAGAGCTGCTGACATCGTCACAACTTTCCCGGCAATGTAGGACATTCAAATGACCCTGTTAATATTTGGAGAGTGAAAGAGAAATAACAGAGCAAAGGAGGGGGGAGAGAAAGAAAGTGAGGAGACAGGACACATGGACGGGAGGGGAATGGAGTCCTGGGAGGGATTCCTACACTAAAAGCAAATTCTGTTCAGCACTAAAGTTAATGATCCAGGGCCACCGCTACCCAGCTAGCCTCCATCCAGATGAGTTAGCACTTTGCTGCTGACCTTCATCCACCTCATGCACGCAGCCACGGCCTATAGACTGAGGTATCGCACACATGTGCAACATTTACTTAATTATTTCAAGTAATCAGGCTAATGTTCATACTGTACATATTTGCATATTCATATTGCTCTGGGTAGATTAAATATATGCAAAATACATAGGGTTAAGTAACACATTAATATTCATATATTTGTATCTCCTATAGCTGTATTCATATTGAAAGATAATGTTCATACACTGTTTATCATATTACACAATATTACTGTCTTATTTAACACAGCAGAAAGTCCACTTTGACTTTCTATTATTAGCAGACCAGTGTGTGTAAACAACAGATATAGAGTATGTCAATATGAGAAAACAATCTCCCATAAGGCCGTACTGCAGAGCCTCTGCCATCTTGATTAAAGGGACCGGCTTCAGGTGCCTTAGAAGAGTGCCCCTCATTTTGACTCAGCAAAACAACTTGAGAGTTCATTAAATATTCATAGATACAACAGCGAGTGAAATTAAAACAGCTCAATAACAACAACACCAGCCTATTTAAAAAAAGACACACAACTGCTCACCGGAAAGAATCGTGTTCGGTAGCCTTACACAACCAGGAGGGAGCTGAGCGGAACCAATTTGCATTGCATAGGACACATACGTACATATCACATTTGACAAGAAATGTGCTACACTTGCCTTCCGTCTATCAGAGTGGACGACAGAAGCAGCTGCTGAATTGCACTTCCTGCCTACCTGAGACAGGGCAAAGAGATCGCCGTGGGGAAGGAGAGAGGGACGAGCTGCTGCTCACTGTCACAACGATATAGATTTCTAATTCCATCACAGCATCAGATAAGTCACATCTGTCTCCCAGGGTTTGGGACTGGTGTGACAGCTCACAATTGCAAGATGACAATTATAGCAGCCAGTGCAAAGACATGTGGCCGTTAACGCTGCAGCCCGCGCTGTAGATACTCTCAAAGCAGTGCCGCTATAAGGCTGGTTCATTGGGGCTATATCTCTGGGATTAAGTTAATCCGTTATATGAAAATATAGCCTTTCAACAGACTACTGGCTCAGTATTGGAATAGGAAGCTTAAAGTCAACAGCCTGCTGATAGAGCTACAGCCACTATGCCTTAAGTATTCAAGGGAATATGCTTCCAGGTAACCAAGGCCCAAGAGTATGCAGGTGTTCATTCTCATAACCAGACACTCCAGAGCCTGGTTCATCCATAAAAATAGCTACTGTGGTGACAGAACTGGAACAAAACAACTACAGTCTTTAGGGTGAATGGCTCATGCTTAAGAACATCTGTTCTAATAACACAGACAGGAGTGTGTGTGTGTGTGTGTGTCTCTCAGAGATGAAAGGGTGTAACATCAAACCCTCAGACAAAAGACACTGTAATAAGAACACTTCTTAGAGAGAGAGGGGTGACTGCAGCTGGCAGCACGTACTTGACTGAGAGGTTACGAAAGAGAGACGCAAAAACACAAAAGGTATACTGTAACAGTTGTTCTGGGTTATTGCACGGAAACATGTTTCTTTGTCGACGATTCTGTCCTGTGTGAAATGAAATAAGACGCAGTCCCTGTGGGGAGGTGCGGGACTATTATGCGATAAACTAAAAGATATCAGCTACAACGCCTACAGCCCAGAAGATGCTGATTTGGCCTTTTACTGTGCAATTTGGATTCCTTCTCCAATTAAAGCCAGAGGGGCCATGAAGCAGATGCCATTGATTGCAGGCCTGAGGGGAACCGGCTTTTCAAGCCTCTCTGGTTGTTTAGACAGAGGACTCAGAAATGACTAGAGTTTAAAAGAGCAACACTGTAGCCGTAGCCAATTACAGGAAGGAATGCTATGCTGGTTGGTGTGTGTGTGTGTGTGTGTGTGTGTCCCACCAATCCTTCAGATAAGGACCGTGTGCACTGCAGCAATAGAGTGCAAATATACAGGACAGGTCCAAAGAAAATGAAGTTAGAAGAATGATCTTTTGATGATGTTACTTCCAGCAGTAGCACATCAACCCCAGCGTGTCCCACCTTGACGATGCACTCTCTCCTTGTGAGGGTCAATTCTAACGCATCGGCCCCTCAAGATCACTGTCCAAAGGCAATTGGCTCCATATTGAGTTAAGTGTTATCAAAACTGTCTGCCACTGCAGTTTCCCATTTCCAAGAATAGACAAAACCACGAGGGGATTGTACTGTAATGGAATTACTCGGCAATATCAGGATATACTCATCCCGTTACTGAGGATACACACACACACACACACACACACACACACACACACACGTTTTTTTATTAAATCACAAACAGAACTTCACCCATGCATATCGTACTGTTGTGTCGCTACGGTCCCAGGTAGATTTGATGACAACCTCCTGCTGATGAAATAGTGATAATTATGAATCAATTATGTTAATTTCTCAGTAGGTAAAATGTTGCTGAAGTGAAGGCCACAGCGTTGTCCTCTATAAATAAGCTAAATCCGTTCAGGGTGTTGGATTCACAACAATGTACCTGCATAAACCTGCATTATGCTCCAAAGATAAAAGAGCCAAATATCTGAGTGTGTGTTAATGAATATTGTGCAAAACACAATATCAAGGTTCATATTTAGACTCTGTGTGTATATAGAGGAGCCTTGGAGGAGCACCATGGCTGTAGTCAGATCAAATGAGGCGGAGTGTCAGACGGCTTGATATAACACGCTGGAATTGACGACCGCAGACAACATGTGATTTAATGCCGAGGAGAGAAATGGGACAGCTGTGGAGGTGGATAGAGTGAGGCAGGCTGACGGCAGCAGAAGATAACAGGGGCTGGACTGTGTCTTTGACCACCTGAGGGGTCTCACTGCTGTCCACACACTTTCAATTACGCGTATTGCTGTGGTAAGCGAATGAGTGGGCTTGGTCTGGTTGAGGCAGTCACCTCTGAATGTGTTCACAGCCGGTCAGTAAGACACTGCAGCAGCACCACCGTCTTCCCTCTTCTCCTTGCAACCGCTTCAAGAGTTGACTCAGTTCCAGCAGAGCAGTCCTTCAAAAAGACGAGGCAGCAGAAAACTCTCTCTCTCTGTCTGTCTCTCCCATGCATTATTCCTCTTCATCTCTCTCTCACTTCCTGCATGCTGCATTAGGGGGATGAGGGAGAAAAGGTCAGGGGCAACAAACGGGAGGCGGAATTTGAACGCACAGGAAGCCTCATTCAGCTGCAGCATTTAGGAGGGAAAGAAAACAAGCAGCTTCTACGACACACTGAAGCTGCAGCGAGCTAAGACTCTTCGATCAGGACGACCTCTTCTCTCGGTCTGCACTGCAGTGCTTAGCCTATCGCACTGTGATCTGCACACTGGCAATAGTCTTCCATCCCAACGTGTGCTTATCTGAGAGATAAGGGAAACGAAGCAGAGGATGTGTCCTTTGTTCCCGGCCTTCTTCAGAGTAACAAGCCATAGCTGGAGGCTATTAGAGATCATAAACGTAAACTTAAATTACCCAAACCTCTATATAGTCTGTTGTACGATAACTTACTGTACGCAAAACAATCTTTCATCATCACTTATCTCAAGAGGGAAACTAAAAGCAAAGAGTTAGCAATTCAAAAATGTGGCAGACACACTAATTGGCTTCCTAAAAAAAAAAAAAAAAAAAAAAAGCACACCGATGATGCGTTTGTGGTGTTTGATCTGACAAATGAAGAGAGACACTTTGGTGAAGCAAAAGAGGAGGAGGCAGAGTACAAAAGCACTTTTTTCCGATGCAGGAACTTTTCAAGGAACTTTTCGGGGTCTCAGGAACATTCGCTACTTTTTGGCCGGAGGAAACTGTGTCAGAAGAACATCCATCAGCGCAGCAGTAAATTATAAATAACTATGTAACTGTATTGTTGTCTTGTTACATGCAACAAAAACTGCTTTCTGTTATTAGTTTAATTTTCTATTATCTTCTTTGTTCATCAAATGTGCAAACCTTTAGTTCCTGGGACTCTCTGGTGAAAAAGGGGCCACAAGTTTCCTAGAAGGCTGACTCCCAGACCACCCTGGGTCCACTTCTGAACCACGGCCCCTCTGTTCCCCACGGCTGGACCAGTGTTTCAACCTCAAACAATGCTGTCACAAGGCCCTTGCTGCTTGAAAAGGGGGTCTCTCTGGCAGTGTCCCACTTTATTGTGTAACTCAGCCTTTCACCTGGATTCCTCACAGACGGGAGTCACTCAACAGTTCCGTGGTGCTTCAGTGTGCATTCAAGAAAGTTATGTAACACATTATCAATTGTCTCAGCGAATATTCTTTGTTCTGCCCGGTGAGGATTAAATCTTGTGGACAAAATGTTAGAACCGGCTCCTCGGTGCTATGAAGACACAGATAACCAGCTTGCTGGGTTGGCAGCAAAGTATCAATGCTGGATTTTTTGCGCCACTCTTTTCGGCTAATTAAGTCATCATACTGAAAACTCTTCTTCTTCTAATAAGAGTCAAAACATTGCCCTTGACACTCCTTGGCTATCACCGATGAGTCAGCTTATGTAACCCCCGCGTACTCTCCCACAGACCGAACACAAAGCCTTCTCGGGTTTCTGTTGACACACAGGCTTCCAGAACATCATCTCATTTTCCCACCATCACAACATCGCCACAAAGTCGAGCAACGGTGAGATTTGTTGCGGTGGAGCTGAGAAATGGTACAAATGTGTGTGGGCACAAGAATGCACAACTAACAATGTGGCAAAGGCACAAGAAAAGTTCAAGCAACTCGTGTCATGGGAGAGGAATGAAGAATTAATGTTTACTGCAACATTTCAAATCTGAAAGCACGCAGAAACTTTTCCAGTTGTTTTGGTTTCTCTTCCTTCATGTTGCCAGAAGAGTCCATCGAATATAATTCATCTTGACAAAAAAAAAAAATCAAGAGTAAATGAGTGATACCTCGCTGTGGTTCAATAAAGGCTGAGCATCTCTTATCAGGGTGCTGCCACGCACACACACACACACACACACACACACACACACACACACACACACACACACACACACACACACACACACACACACACAATGTGCTCTACACAACACGCTGCTAAAGAGTTCCTGCAGCTCTTTGTGTTCAGCACACAGTGACCCCTTATTTACCATCCCAGCCGGTAATTACGACACTACATTCTTACTACCCCCGAGCCCCTGGTCTGTATAAAGCAGGGTCACGGGCTGAGACAATACCTCACATCAGACGGTTCTATATAGAGGCCATTTTGTGTTTATCGGGCACCACCAGCAGCTCTATCTCCTTCAAACACACCGCACATGCAGAATTATTCTCGGGTGACATGTTTGGGGTAAAGAGGGTCGTTACCAAAGTCTCATGGGGCCGATAAAGAAACAGATCTTGCATGAAAACATGCACAATTTATACATCGGTGTCCACAAGAACAGAGCTTGGCAATAACAAATGACCATGTGGCACCAGACAGGAGAATCCAAATACGACCGTCTCCGCGGCTAAGATGATTAATTCTCTAATCAAGCTGTTTTACTGGAAGCAGAGACAGGCATCATTAGTGGACCCATAACCTCCTACGACAGAGGATTACACTGGGGCGTTCATGAGTTGTTACCTTCCTTGTAAATAAAGTGTACGTGCGTGTTGTACGGCTCCACAATCAACTGCAGAAGCTGAGACAAAAACATCAATTGCGACAGTGTTTACATTTGGATAATGACGACGTCATTTCTTCCATAAAGTAAACATTCTGGCGCTGACCCGGCATTAGTTTTGCGATGGCTAGTTTATTAAGCTACAAGACCATCAACAGAATATTATTATCATTATTATTACAACTATGACAACAGATTAATCATTAAAGTCAATTACTAAGAAGAAATGCCAAAATACTAATAAATTTGCTTATTTTCTCTGTATTATATAATTGTTACGTGACTATCTTTATAGTTGGTACAACAAAACAAGCAATACAAATATGTTCCCTTGAGCTCTGGGACATTGTGAAGGGCACTTTTCACTACTTTAAGGCATTCAATTGAATCAACGATTAATCAAACAGAAATTGACAGTTTAATCATGAAAGCATTCGTTGGTTGCAGCCTTATCTGCCATGAGATTCTCAGTTAAATACATTCTAGGCACAATACCTTTAGCTGGGTTAAAGCCTTAGTTACCGATCCAACCATCACTTCTCTGAACCAGCAAGCAGGCAAAGTGACAACAGAGAAGTAAAAGTGCTTTGTTAAAAAAATAACTTGTCACTATTTCTATTTGTTGGGAAGCTTATTTCTCTACAGTGAGCACATAGAAGAAGACCACATGTCCGCTGTCCTCTCTACATGCACCAACAAAGTGCTGAGAGACTTTCACTGCAGCAAGAGACGTGGACCTCTGGTGATGATGATGACGGGGGTGATGATGATGGGGGTGATGATGATGATAATGACATGGCAGGAGTCCAGAGCTGAGGTTAGTGTAGGGCCATCCATACTTGGCAGGACAAGCCTTCTGCTTGTTGTGCATCACACTAACAAAGCGTACAATAAATGCATCTACAGTAAAAGACTGTTTAGTCAGCTAAATGTCTACTTTCCCAAGACTGGCTATAGATACACCATGTACATGTATACACCATGGCACTATGACGCAGGGGACTTTGACTGGTTTAGCGTTACATGGAAAATATCCATCCGTAGTAAAATCATCCCAGAAAGCAAATAAATGACATAGCTCCTCACCAGATGCACCGATCACACGCGCACACATCTGTCACAGCTGATGAACTTCTCAGAAAGAAACCCGTGCGACCACAGGCACAGAGCAGCAACCACGTCAGTTTAAATGTCCAGGTAACTCACAGTGTTACCGATACACTGTCTTAAACGGACATGTTCAGCCGTAGGACAACGTTTAAACGTGTAGCCATGTAAATGAAGCATGAACTCACCGGCATCATCTTAGCTTCGGACCGCATCTAGCTCACCAACACGGAATGAATCCACACGGGCAGTTTCGACGAAAGCTGTGGGACCGATCACTTTAATCCAGAGCCTGTAAACCCGCGGTGGGCTCGGCTCTACTTTCTCTCTCTTGGAGTCCCGTCCTGCTTTAAAAACAAAGCACACATCGTCACTTCGTTAATACAACCGACATGTCCAAAGAACTAAATACAATATCTCGTCTCGAGGACCTGTTGCAACAAATAACAATAACACGGCCTTCACGACTAAAGTTTCCGTTGTAGTTGCGCGAGCGTAGCTTAGAACTTTGAAACGGCTCATTGCGAGTGCGAGGCAATACTAAAAAAAACAAAAAACACCTCAAGTTTTGTGAGTAGACTAAAGATAAAACAAATTAAACATATATGCGAGGATTATTAGCTATTTTTAAAAAGGTTTTGCTTACCAGAGGTGATCAGCCCGAAACCCCGTTGAGTGACAGCGTTGCTCTGTAGCTCGCGGCCTATCCCAGAGTGACGTAGCGGGAGGAAACTCATTCCAGTTTGGAATTCTAGCCCCGCCTCTTTTTGGAACAGACCACACCCCCACCGGACAGACCTGTCCGGTGTAAAACAAACACTAAGCCCTTTACAATCACTTTTCCAATTTCCACTAAACTATACTACAGGTCGACAACATCCAGTTATTATAAAGCAAATTAAACTTACATTGAAAGTACAAATCAACCTGAGTTGATTTGGAGAAAAGTAGGATGTCTCACTCCGCTCGTATTTGACAGGCTGGAAGCCGAAGGTGAATTGGGAGGAGTTTACTACAAGATGATCCTAAAAAAAGTAAAAGTAGACCCACTGATACCACACAATACCATACTCTGGTACAAGTAAAGGTTGTTGTCATATGGCACAGGTGCTTTATTATATCATTCCAATGTTGTATTACTTTGTCAATCCGTTTGTTGCTAATGGCTTCAGATGCCTATCATTGTTTTCTGTTTTAATTAGTGCCTTTTAGACAATCATTTTAAATACCAATGTATTTGGTATCAGTTTTAATAGATGAAATAGAATAAATAAATAAAGTCTTTGCCATGGGTCCAAATTTAAAGTATCACACACTATCAGGGGTTCATTTTGAATTATATGACCAATAATGTTTTGAGAAGAAATAAGTTTAACATTTTGCTATGGTTGTTTATTACAGTCGGTAGTCTATGTTAAATGTATTGGTAGGATGAGCGTTTAAGTATAACTGTAATGCTATTATATATTATATAATTTGATTATTATTATTCATTCAATGATGTGAACGTTGTTGTTGGTTGAGGTATGTAGGACTGCTACTAATGCTTATTTTAATTAATAATCTGCTGATTTTCAGAGAGTTCCAGGGGCCCTCAAAGCTCCAGCCTTTACCGGGTGCCTCGTTTGATCTAAACTAAGGAATTATTTGTTTGGGAATATGTGTTTTTCACCGAGGACATTTTGACTTTGCATACTAGAAAAAGCAGAGGTGTAAATAATACAATGAATTATGGCTGTCACTGTCACTGTCACGTTTACTGGGACACTCGATTGATACAGAGCCATTGGTAATGTTGTAAAAGCAACACCTGTGCTTTTAATTAAGTCACTATGTCTGGTGCTGTTTGGGGGCTGTATAATAAGTGCATCTCTTGTTGATTTAATACATTTGTCTGCGTTCTTTCAAATATAACCTTCCACTTATTCAAGGCTGGAATGACTACAATTCAGTAAAACAACTGCTTGCTGGTGAGATGAGAGGACAATCTACTGTGGAACCCCAATGTATGCAATATGAAATATATAATTAAGACACTATAATATAAATACATATATGAATAAATAGAGTAGGATATATACATAAACACATGAATTGTGAAATAATTTGATGACCAGAAAGATGAGAGCGTGGTTACTGGTGGCATGAAAAGTAACATTAGAAATAAGTGTCATTGGGAAAAGACTTTTGAAAAAAGTATTTAGATAAATAATTTAATTTAATTTCTAGAAAGAAGATGATGGAATAAAGTGTCACCATGAGTTTAGTTTTGATCATTTATAATTTCACAATTTATTGAATATTGGATGTATTAATATGATCATTTATTTCACAATGTCTTACTAATGAATAAAGAAATAAGACGTACACATTGGGACTCCAAATTTGTTGTTAACCCAGAAGTGATTTCTCCTTTGGTTCATAGACGATCTTTAAAAAAAAAAAAAAAAAAAAAATGTCGACTACAACTCCCAGAACACCCATTCAACGGCGAGCCACATGTTCAAACGCGCAGGCAGCAGCACATTTTGTGCACGTTGGTTACCTCCTTGAGCGTACGCAGCTCGCTGTCGTGCAGGTGTTTTGCATAGGAGAGCTTGTCGCTTTTGCCTTAAGACACAACCTGCAGTCATGGCTGAGCAGGTGGCCGCCATGTGTGAGCAGCTCATCAAAGCTGTGAATGTGATGATGGACGCAGAAACGGCACAAATCTACCGACTGGAGGCCCTAAAGGTAGCATCGTTATAGGTCGCTAGCTAGCTGCTAGCTAGCTGAGCTTGTCATCTATTGTAGCTGTTGTAAAAGTAGAATTGTGTACCTGCGTAGCGGAATAAACATTTGTTGTTGTTCTTAGTACGGGTAGTTCATAAACATAACACCCGTGCACGTTTGTTAACGTTAGCTACATCTCTAATGATGATGGCCAGATGCTAACTTGTGCCATGATTATCACCACAACACTGTCGACTCACGTCCATTCATTCATTCATAGAAACGGTACACGGACGCATTAACGTTACACAGTAATCATACGTTAATAAATATTTATAAACCTGCTGAAATGTTGTTTGTTAAACTAGGTGCCGGGTCAAAAATAACAAGCTTTATGTTTGTCCACAACAGTTTTGTGAGGAGTTTAAAGAGACGAGCTCCTTCTGTGTCCCATGTGGCTTACAATTAGCCGACAAAGCCCAGCCAGCTGTGGTGAGACACTTCGGTTTGCAAATCCTGGAGCACGTCATCAAGTGAGTGTCACATAGAACCCAAGTATAACAAAGCAATGACATGATTAAAGATGCATATGTGAAAGGAAGCAAACACAATTCTTGCAGGTTTCGATGGAACAACATGGAACAACAAGAGAAAGTCCAGTTGAAGGAGTGTGCCATGCAGCTGTTATCCACTGTGAGTGTGATAGAAATTAAATTCTGTCTTACTGTCACAGTCGTAAATGCTTATCTGACACCTGTTTTGGGGTCTTTTCAGGGTACTCATGCTATCCTGGAGGAGGAGAGCCACATCAAAGATGTGCTGTCACGAATCACTGTGGAAATGATAAAGAGGGAATGGCCTCAACATTGGCCCGATATGCTGAAAGAGATGGAGGCTCTCACTAGCCATGGGGTGAGTGACTTCTATAATATATATATATATATATATATATATATATGTTTGTTACTGCATATCAGTCGTATCCTTTGCCAGCTTGCATGCAATTTGAATACAATTATGTAATAACTCGCATGCAAATAAGTACCAGTCGAGTAGTCATTTTCATGTGGCATCATCATGTCAACTTGGCCATTGGTAGATATTAGCAATTGTGGGATAAGTGCAGCAACTATGAAGCTGAACAACATCTTTTCCACTGGATTATTTTATCAGTGCACACATTAGTTTTGGCCAAAAGATGCAACCGTTTAATCCTGTCAGTATGGACTTTTAAAAAATGTAAGTAAATAAATTAAAAGCGAAAATGCACTTCTGACTTTCCTAGGAGGCGCAGACGGAGCTGGTGATGTTGATCCTGTTGAGGCTGGCGGAGGATGTGATCACCTTCCAGACGTTGCCCAACCAGCGACGCAGAGACATCCAGCAGACGCTCACCCAAAACATGGAAAGCATCTTCAGCTTCATGATGGCCATTCTGCATGTTAATGTCGAGGACTACCGTAAACTGGTCAGTGGGGTCTTAACTTTTTCAGAAATAGGTAGCGTTACAATTTACTTATCTCTAGATGTATCATTATTTATGTTGCTAAATGAAAACGATTTTTATTTATTTTCTATCTAGAAAGGGTCACCCGGACATGAACTGCAGGTGAGAAGACATCACTGCATCACTGCTCTAAAAGGAACCTTTCATGGACTTGATTACTTACCTTCATTTTCCACGCACAGGCCAGAGCTCACTGTCGAGTCGCGGTGGCTACGCTGAATACACTTGCAGGCTACATAGACTGGGTGTCTCTGGTGCACATCACCACCGGAAACTGTCATCTACTGGAGATGTTGTGTTTGCTGCTGAGTGAACCGGAGCTGCAGCTGGAGGCAGCAGAGTGTCTGCTCATCGCTATCAGCCGGAAGGTGAGTCGGTAGGAAAAAAACACGCCGTTAAAAACCCCTTATGGTTATGCCATAATGCTAGCTGTAAAGACATTATTCTTTCAGCCTCATTTATTGTCTCTGTTTGTCAGATAGCTACTACTCTATGATATCTTAGAAATACCAGATTACCAGATTTGAATAGAGTTTATTGGAAAGTTGGGCCGTGGAAAGCAACAGCGCCACCATGTGGCTATTTATAACACCCTTTTTTTTGGCCCATAACTCCTGAACTGAGAGGTGTGGAAGAGAGTCTTTTTCACAGAATTCCTCGACAATCTGACCAATTTTGCAACATTTTTTTAACGACAATAATAAGACGTGTTTAATGATGTGTGTCATTCTGCCACAGGGCAAGCTGGAGGATAGGAAGCCATTCATGCTGCTGTTTGATGACGTGGCCATTCACTACATCCTGTCTGCAGCCCAGTGAGTACATCTGCTTCTCCATCGTTTCTCTTCACAGGCTTCAACATACTATCGTCCCAGTTATTGAATGGTTTGTGTCTGTCTGGTTACAGGTCAGCAGATGGACTGGCTATATGTGAGAAGTCCGCTGAGTCACAGTAAGTAACGTGACACACCTGGCTCACTGTAAAGCAGTCATAAAAACACATGGTAAGTTCATTCAGTGCATGTAGCTGTGACTCATAGTCCTGTGTGTATGACTTCAGAGCCGTGGAGGTGGTGGAGCGGCGGTACATCTTCCTGAAGAGGCTGTGTCAGGTCCTGTGTGCTCTGGGAGGCCAACTCTGCTCATTAGTGGTGAGTTTGTGTTCGTTTGGTCACACACGTGGTCTCTTATCTGGGCTTTCGTCCACACACACACATACATTAAAAAAAGCACGTGTTAACAGTTTAGGCTCTTTTGTTTAAATGTCATGTTCTCTCCACAGGGTTCAGATGTAGAGGTCGAGGTACCTGCAAATCTCAGCAAGTACACGGAAGCGTTTCTAGCCTTCACTAAACATTCCAGTCAGGTGAGAAGACAATCATTTTAACTGCATTTAAATCAGTAGAATGTAAATTTTTCCGCTGTGTTTGAACTCTCCTCTTGTGATTTGTCCTGCAGTTTTTAAAGTCATCCACTCTGGCCACTTGGGGAGCTTTGTTCAGACACGAGACTCTGTCGAAGGACGCGGTTGTTGTTGAGATGGCCGTCAAATACCTCAGAGCGTCTATGACCAACCTAGTGAAGGTGAGACACTGATGTCCGTGCTTCCATTCCCACTGTACACGGAAGCAACACAGGTGTAAAGGTTTCGTCTTTCCTCTCCAGACGGGATTTCCATCTAGAAACGACAACCCAAGTTGCGAGTACTCCCGTGTGGACTTTGACAGTGACGAGGATTTCAACTCGTTCTTTAATTGTAAGTATTATGGATTCAGCTTTACCTCAATTCAGAGCAGTGCTCTTTATTTGATCCTTTGGTGTTTTTCACAGTGCGTGTTCATACTTCACAGCTTTTCGAGCACAGCAGGGAGAGGTCGTGAGGATTACGTGTCGCATCGTCCCTCTGGAGGCTTTCCAGATAGCAGCAGAATGGCTACAGTATCAGATCGCCAGCCCGATTGATACCGGGGCTACAACATGTAAGCGTTTGTCCTCGTTTTTTAAACTTGGAGGGGAGGATTTTTGTCGTGGGTTTGGTTAATTTAACATGTAAAATATGCAACATTATGGATCTAAATGTGGGCTTACAAAGTCCCCCTTGGTTAAATTTACTAGAGCATTCCCCATTGACCACTCGGGAACTTTTCTGACCATTCAATTGAAGGACTTTTGTTTTACTAGTTTCATATACATGTTGAAGATCATGAATTCTTACATGCAGCAAATGTACTTCTCTTCTCTCTCCTCCCGTCACTAGCTGCTGAGGGCCTGTGCTCACTCTTGTCTCCATCAGTGGTCCAGTGGGATGCAATGACCGTCTTAATGGAGTGTGTGGTCGCACAGATTTTCAAAAATCTGGAGGAGGAGGTAACGGGAACAACTTTATTTATCAGAACAAAACGGTGTGAGACAAAAGTAAGTTGATTGTAATGATGTGAAGGTTCTTTCCCCCCCCCCCCCCCTTCTGCCTCTCACTATGTTAGAAGTTACCGATAGATCAGAGCATGGAGCTGCTGCAGGCCGTGCTGAACTACAACACCAAAGACCCGCTGATCTTGTCCTGCGTGCTCACCAACATCTCTGCTCTCTTCCCGTTTGTTAAACAAAGGCTGCAATTCCTGCCACAGATTCTCTACAAGGTCAGCATAGTCGTCATTGGTCACTATATATTATGTGTTATTTACCATACATGTATTATTATTGTATAAGGAAATGGATAGCGTATATATCAAGGGTTTTCTTGAGATTGTTAGATGTGGTGATTTGGGAAATCATAACGGAACAGTGTGTGAAATTTGACCTCTCTCTGGTCACATCATTTTGCATTTAATGTGTTTCTGTGCCTGCATGACAAGTATTTATCATGAACATTGGTCTCACGGTATTTTATTCTTTTGTCCCTACAGTTGTTTAGTGCCATAACATTTGAGGTTGGTCAGGAAAGTAAGGTGAGTTGCCTTCAGAGAACCACATATTGCTACTTCTCCTCATCCTTTTTGTCCAAGACCGAAAAGTATAATTTCCAACTGACGTCTTCAGGCACCTCGGACCCGAGCTGTAAAGAACGTGAGGAGGCACGCCTGTTCCTCCATCATCAAAATATGCCGGGATTACCCACAATACATCCTGGTAAATGTCAATTTATCCGAGTAGAATGACAGATTATAACTGCTTTCAGTTGGTGGATGTTATGCATAGAATGTGTCCCTGAAGTACAGCGTGCTGATGAAAAGACACGAGTAGACGTTTGTGACTTTGACGTCGTTTTAATTTTTCCTCTCCAGCCTTGTTTTGACTTGTTTTACAACCACGTTAAGAAGTTGTTCTCGAGCGACGCCACGCTCACTCACATGGAGAAATGTTCACTGATGGAAGCTCTGGTGCTCATCAGTAACCAGTTCAAAGACTTTGCAAAGCAGAAGGCTTTTCTAGATGAACTGATGGCTTCAGTGGTGGCAGAATGGACCTCGGATGAGATGAGGCGGTGCGTTTTGATTTCTCTCTATTTCTGTTCACATCGTACATGACGTGTTTCAGTGTCGTGGCAGATGATTGACTTGTGACTCTTTGTGCTTCAGGGTGCTGTGTGACCCGGCTGTGTTCCTGTCCTTTGTGGGTGCCGACCAGGTGGTCAATGAGCAAAGTCCAGATGCAGACACAGCGGGCCTTAATAGGGGCCGGGTAAGTGTGTAGTATGTGAACTCTAAGAACTGCAGTATTTCTCTCACTGGGCTTCTGGTTGTAGGTCATTGAGATCAATGTAGACCTGCTTACGTCACACTAATGTATAAGACTCTGCGGTTTGGTCCCCGGCTCCTCCAGTCTGCATGTCAAAGTGTCCTTTGGCAAGATACTGAACCCCATATTGCTCCTGATTTCTTCTTTCTTTGACCTTCCTCTAGCTGGGTTTCTGCTTGTATGCCATGTTGGGGGTGGTGAAGCGGGCACGCTGGCCTGCAGACCTGGAGGAAGCCAAGGCCGGTGGCTTTGTGATGGGCTACACCGCTGCTGGAGCTCCCATCTACAGAAACCCCTTCACTGCCCAGTTTCTGGTCTTGCTGCCCAACCTGCTGGCTCTAATCAGGTACGCCTGTCGGAGGGCACTGAACCTGGTGTTCAGCCATGTGGAGAACTGTGTTGGACTAACAAGAACCCGAGGATCATATTATCCCCAATGTGTGAACAAATTAGACATGTGCATGTCGCAATCCATTTTCCACATATTGCTATGTATTTCAATTTCTTTTTTACAGAGCTCTGCACATGATTTGTGTATTTTTCAGCATTTTCAGAGGTTGCTATTCTTGCTGCTTTTAATGTATCCATCATATGTGGGTCATTTGTGTGAAAGGGTCCTGAGTAAGTCTAATAGTGTCTCAAAATACTTCCTGCTGTTATACTGATCTGTCTCCTTTCTTTGCTCCTCACTGCAGGACTAACAACAGTCTGTTCATGCCAGAGAACATGGCTCGTCTCAGTGAGACTTTCTCCAGGGCCCATGAAGTGATGGCTGCAGAGAGAAATGTCGTTCTTGGTAAGAGCACATTTCTCCACATGTTTTTTTGCCCCTTAGTGAGCCATCATCTGAAAAGCCTGTGGTTAAACCCTCTTAATATGGGCTTTCTCCAGGTCTCTCTCAGCATCCTCTGGATATTTATGACTCTCCTGTGTATAGAACCAGCCCGGAGCGGATGCAGGGATTTCTATCCACACTGTATGACAACTGGTGAGGCTTTTCCCCAAACTTTTCCTCCGTATTGTTTATAGCTCACATGCAGGTGCAGATTACATCTGCTTTCTTTACCTCTGTAGCTTCCACGTCCTGGGGAATGCAGGTCTGTCCTTGCAGCAGGAATTCTTCACCATTGAGAGACTGAGCGAAGAAATAGCCGGTTCTGCTTTCGTCTCCCTCGACCGTGTGCCTGACCACAGACTTCGCCCTATGATTCATATCCTCATTTCATTTGATTTACTTTTTTTTTTTTTTTTTTTTTTCCTATTTCAGTGGTTTGATAAACGAGGTGTAAAAGATCTTTGTCTTACACTCATTCTAAATGTATACTTCTCCACATGAGCAAAGCTGAGCTTTTGCTTCATGTTAACATGGCATTTCCTTAACAAGCGTACGGGTGTTCCTGAGGCAGCTGGTGCTATCGTGTCCTCAGGAGTACTACAACACTCTGATCTGCCCCCTGCTGGGACCTCTGTTCGCCTACATGCAGCAGGTCAGATGTCCACACTTCCCCTTCTGTAACACTTCTCCTTACTCTCATCTCTATATACGTTTTATTCACTCAGTCATTATTGTCTCTTGGCCTTGCTTCTGTTTCATATTACAGAGGCTCAACGTCAAGTGGCAGCTCATCAACCAGAGGAGCTCTGTCAAGTAAGTCAAGTGTGATGTAGTGTTTGTGTCCGTACGTGTTTTTGTTTATACATCAGGAATTTGGAAATGATGTACTTTACAAGAAGAAAGGTATTTCACTTAGGTCCTCAGACGGTTGTTAAACATATTAATTGAACACTCAAGTTAGACATGAATGCCTGAAATACAAATCACATTACCCACTAAGACACCGGTCTTTTGTTTAGCTGGAGAACAACAGAACATTAGAATGTAAAATATCTCTGAAACACAGTAACTTTGACTCTTGATGCAGTTCAAAATAAGCACCGATAAGAGCTCTTCTCAAATCACTCGAAAGTCTCTACTGCATATACTGCATATTTAGCTCTTTGACACTCAAACTGGTTGTGTGGACTTACTGGTAACCTGTTTTTTAAGTGGTGAGGAGGAGGAGGTGGTGGTGTGTCAGGAGAGCCAGGTGACGCAGGAGATGTTGGAGGAGCAGCTGGTTCGCCTGCTCAGCAGGGAGGTCCTGGACCTCCTCGGTAAGTTTCCACATCTGTAGTAACAACATATAAAGACCTGGTTAAACATCAGATACATGCTCACTTGAGTTATTGATAACTATTACTTGAAAATGATTATGATGTTGCTATAAACAGATTATTTTCAAATAAACTGGAGTTTAAGAATTGGAAGAGAAGTCTTAACTAGCATTGCAGTTTGTTCTATGTGCCAGACAAGTTGCATTTGTTGGCATAAGTATTGAATAAAAAAAAATATTTATTGTAAAAGTCGCAATATTTTTTATCACAATGGTGTTACTCTTGTTTTATGACAGCTATATAATGTCCCTGTCTAAACCCGCTGTAAAGCGAAGCATTAAGTGAAGCTCGGGACTTCTTCCTGAATGCTGCTTATGCACTTCAGTCGTGTGGGAAGGTTGTGTTTGTGCCTGCTACACCAGCTGAGAACAGTTTCAGAACACATCAGCAAAGTGCAAATATCAGCCATAATTCCTGGATATCGCTGATATAGACGTGATGGACCAATAGGATTTGTCTTGGGTGATGAACAACCCACTTGCGTGATCATTGAGCTGCACTGTGCACTCCCAAAGTGAAATAGCCAAGGCATTGGGCTTTGAGGGTGATTCTTGATGTTGGTATTGAGAATGTACCAAAATATATGGGATTCTCAGCAAATGGCAGACAACTGCCTGATCAGCTTTTACTCTAAGACTGACTGTAAATTGGGGAGTTGAGTTATTGTGGGGCCGTAATACTTCTCTTCTTTCTTGTCTTCTAGCTGTGAGCTGTATTTCCAAAAAGCTGCCTGAACCAGCTGCAAATAAGGAGGAAATGGACGGTAAGAGTCAGATTCACGTGCTTCTTAAAAGCTATTCTTCTGGTTTTCTTCTTCATGAGTTATCCTCGTCCGTCTGTCTGTGCTGTGATGTCACTGAAGAGTGTGATACCACTCAGCTGGCCAGACAGAAGCAAAACAAATACCCACAATCCTAACGACAAAGCAAAACAAGACATGAAGACTGTTGTTGTTTTTTGATTCTGACAAAGCGTCTGGTGATATATTCTCTCGCAGAGGAAGACATGATGGATTCAGTGCAGGCGGCGTCTCCAGCCCAGCCCACAGAGGAGCTGACTGAGCTGGGAAAATGCCTGCTGAAACACGAGGTCAGCCCAAGGCACATAACATCCTAAAGAGGGCATGGTTACTCATTGATTGCTGTATCTAAACTTAATGTCTCTCTTTTTGCAGAACATCTACATGACCCTGTTGACCCTCTCCTTCACCTCTCTGTCATGGAAGGACACCACTAACTGTCACCGCACTGCTTCAATGGTCTGCTGGACACTTCTGCGGCAGGTAGCGCGCGGAATGTAACAAATGTCCAATACAAGCCCTGGTTTATTTATTTTTTATATCCTTTTCAATGTCACACTTTCCTCTTGAGGGATAAGGCTGGCCATATTCTATATTTTTGATCATTTTCACAAATTCCATGAAAAGAACTAAAGATGTAAATATTTCAAAGCTGTGAGTAAGCAAATGTTTCTCAGACGAGAGTTATTGCATTTAATTCTTGGCAACAATGAAGTCTACAGCACAGAGGAATAAGCTAGTTAAGGCTTTGGATACAGAGGAAATACCCGTCGTGTATTTTCATTTAAACCGTTATCACCTCTCTCCTGTTAATGCACTCTTTTTGCCTCTGTCAGGCTTTTTTTAGTTAGTTAAATGTCTCAGTTGGTACTCACTCATCGCCTGCGACTCATATGGAGGCTGTGAAAAGTATCTTACCACATATTTCTCTCAAGGTTTTTGTCCCACATTCACTCTGTCTCTCTTCAGGTCATAGTGGGTAATCTTCTTCCTGAGGCGGTCACATGGTTCTACACCAGTGTCCTCCGAGGCCTTCAGGTTCATGGGCAGCATGAGGTCTGCAACTCCACCCTCTCTCAGCTTGCAATGCTCATCTATGAAAACCTGGTGAGGATAAAGGCAGCCATCTCTTTATTTCTGCCTTTGTTTGATCAGTTAAAGAAGTCCCCTACGACTTCAACTAACCGACTTAAAACTGTCGCTCAACTAATTGCTTCAGGTTAAATTCATATAGTACTAGAGGTATAATGAAAAGATTCATCAGGGCAACGTTCAAGTTAAATCCTGCTCTTTTTAACTCTCTGTCTGTCTGTCCGTCCTAGCGGCCTCGCTACATAGAGCTGAGAGCGGTGATGACCCAGATCCCAAACATCAGTGTGGAGTCTCTGGGCCAGTACGACCACAGGCTCATTGACCCCAATGCCCAGAAGCTTGGGGACAAGAAGAGGAAAGACCAGTTCAAGAGGCTCATTGCAGGAACAGTTGGGGTAATGCCACATTCAGCCACTAGAGAGCAGTGCGTCTCTACTGTGTCCCACTGTAGAGGGCTCATCAGGGGTGACCACAGACGGGCCTAACAGTGCAAGGCATTACTCAGCAGTGTGATTCTGGCTGTGCTGTAAATCTTGTGTGCTCAGCAGCGCAGTGAGGCTGTAGAATCTAATGAAATTCTTTCTGGTGGATCTCAGATAGCCGTGTTTAACCTCTCCTCTCTCTGTCCCCGGCCAACAGAAAGCTCTGTGCCAGCAGTTCAGGAAGGAGGTTCATATCCGGAATCTTCCATCGCTCTTTAAAAAGCCGAAGCCGGACAAAGATGTACAGAGCAGTGAAGCATTGGGCCTGGAAGCTCTCTTCTCCCCAGAGAACAATACCCTGTAGGAGCACATGGTGGTTCTAATGGATTCATACTGACTGAAAACAGTTGTGTGTACAAACCGGGTTTCCCTCTCCATCCTCAAGCTGGAGCAGCTCGGCTCTACCTAACATAACTGTCAACACTCTTCTGTTTCTCAAAAGCTCTTCTTTTATTTCATGCCACAGCACCAGTCACACTATAAGTAATATCCTTAGAATAACACTCACACAGGTATATGAGATATTGAAATTTGTACTACATTTTTCAGATTAAATAACGGCCTGTTTCTGTGTTAAAACATCAAGACTAGCCATTGATATTTGCTCTGCAGCAGAAGCTTCATTGAGCCACAAAACTATCATGAAAGGGACCAAACTGTTCTGTTGTGTCATGTTGCGTCTTTTTCATTTTAAGGAGGCAATATTTGCCCTTTGCCCACCACAGTATGTCAGATATATGGGACGAGGAAATCTAACTGAGCGTCAAGCTGTGGTGTGATATACAGCATAGGAACTGGCATCTAATGATCCAAAAAAAGCAAAGAATAGAGAATTGCTGCAGGAGTAGTGTGTGTGTGTGTGTGTGTGTGTGTGGGGGGGGGGGCTTGTGGAGCGGTGGAGACCTTTTGTACTTGTAAAATCTTAATTTCAGAGGTGAGTGTTGCAGATATGTTATGTGACCACGCTGCTGCTCTCGAGGCCGTTATATTCCGGGTCAAGAAGAAGAAAAATCTTCGTACTCTTTTATTTTTTTTTTGCCGTGATTTCCTTTGACTGGACAAGCTTGAATGCAGTCTCTGATTCTGAAGTATGTGCTAAAGGAAACTCAGGTGCGACGTTCCCTAAGATGGGGTGAAGATACTTTATGGAAACATATTCAGCTGAATAGTGATTTGAAGTTATTGTAGATATAAATATGAACAACAGTTTTCTGGTTTGCAGATATTACACAGTAGTAGTTGGTGGATTGCATTTTGCCGGTTCCTCATATCGGCACAATTTACACCGACCCAAGTAGCGTTTTGAATTGCTTATTTAATGCAAAGCACATATCATACAAGTATTTCAGCCACATATTGTGCCAAAAAACTCACGATAGACTTTGACACACAACACTTTGACCAGACAATTATGTCTGAGATGCAAAACCTAATAAGATATGACTTCATGATTATTTAATGGTGGACTCAACAACTAATGTGTAGCTTAATCCAAGTCTTTCTGTTTTCTGGCTGTTTATATTCATTTTTAAAGTGTTTTTTTGTGTTTGTACTGGTTTTGCCAGCCGTAAGAAAAAGATGAACCAGCACTACATTCCTTCATTATCCAAGGGATTGTTTTTAAGCATAATTCGATGGATGTGTTTTGCTCTTATGGAGCTTTAATGTAGAGTGTGATTTGTTGTGTGTTGTGTAGATTCAGGCCAATAATATATGGGAGCTATTTTAGCTTAGAGTGAGCCCTCTTTAAAGGGCGTATAGACTGGTCTGCATTTCAGGTATTACTGAAACAGGTTCACATCATCCTTGCCCAGGAATAGGAACATTTATGAAGCTTCACCTTCCAATCAATTCATTTCACTGTCTTTGTGGCGATCGTGTGTTCACATGTGGCCATTTAAAACAAATGCTTGTGTAACACTAAAAAGTTATGTACAATGGAGAAAATATGCTTTTTAAAACTGTAGTGTGGTTTATATTTTGTTTTTAAATAAAAAATGAGATTTCAATTCATCTCAAATGCATATCTTTTGGTTTCTTTTAAATTTAGAATAAATGGAAAAGTAGCTCAACTTATTTTTACTTGCTACAGATTGACATATTTGCTTCTTATTAGTTATATATTTTGTTTTTGCTCATGCACAATTTTCAACATTTTGCAAAATGACCAACATGGTGAAGAAGTTGCAAATATAGATTAGGGTGAAATATAATCCTAAAGAAGAAACAACTACAATGTGGATAATGATATTAAATAAATTTTCTCTTCAGAGAAGCACAAGTCGATGTTTAACTTGCTGTGTATTATGTCAGTGAATCTTTACACTGACATATATATGTATTAACACCACCTACATACAAATGTGTATATATACTGACAGATCTCTTCAGAGCTGACCCGCTCGTATATAATACTATATTTTTACAGAATTGAAAACTGTAATATGTCTAAAATATTTTAGACATAAACTCATTACTTTCCGTGTTAGTTAATACTTATTAAATAATGTTTTATGAGTGAAATGAACACATTTCCACCGTTTTGCCATGTCTTAATTTTCTCACCATGATGCTCCATCTAAATAAAGCATTTCAATAAATTTGGAATGCTTGAGTTTTGTTGCGTTTCTGGATCAAATTGAGTCTGTACTTCTGACTCCACGTCGATAGGGGGCGGTAACGCGCCATTTGCCTTTAGCCCACTGCCGTAAATAGCTTTATAGAAGCGCAATTAAGAACGGTGTTCGAATATGGCTGCCAGCGTCTATCGGTGGTTTGTTGTGTACTTTTGTTATTATGAAAAAAAATATTTGAAATTAATACATTAATCCACGTAGGCTCAGTATTCATGTTCAACAGGCAGTTGTTTTTACGTGGACGTGTTGGACTAACGTTAATCCGTAGAACCAACCTAAACGTTTAATCACCGGTACGTTAACCGTTGACGTTAATGTTAGCTGTAACAAGCAGTAGCAAGTAACAATAATGTCAGGAAGTAAAGTGACATTTTTTTATCAACGTGACAAAATTACGTTCTTGTGGGAAGAAAGGAAAAGGCAACACTGTAACTTCTTTACATTGTATTAGAATGTAACTTTCTTTACATTCTAATACAATGTAAAGAAGTTACATTGTATTGGAATGTAACTTCTTTACATTCTAATAGAATGTAAAGAAGCTACAGTGTATAGAATGATTCTATTGAAGTTATTCCTTTTTTAGATGTTTTAGACAAGTCACTAATCACTTTAAAATAGTGATTATCGTTGATTAGCGTTGGTCTGGCTACATGTGTAGCTTGTACAGTCAGGTACTGGAAGTCATGGTGACTTTTTACGTGCATTTGTCTTAAGTAGTTTCAACTGTCACAACAAGTACAATTTGAGGTACTTTCTTAAGTATTTTCATTTTATGTTACTTTATACTTCCACTTTACTACATTTCAGGGAGACATATTGTATCGTTACTTTTTACTCTTAGATTAACTAACTAGTTAACTACTTCACAATTTAAGAACTGTGCATACCTAATATGTTATATAATGTGTTAAAATACGATTTAACTACCCACCCTACTAGTTTATATAGTAGGTAAAATGAGCTTTAACATTAAAATGCTGCATACAAGTTGCATCACTAATACTGATCTAATGAATACTAATAAAAAAGCTTTAAAAGCTTAAACAAAGTTCATCTGCATAGTGTATTCAGGGTATAATAAGTTTATTAATTAAAGGATGGATTACAATATTTAAAGTTGACATGATCTGTAATTTAGAGCTGAAACAATATTAATCGATCAGCCTTTTGACAGAAACATTATTATGCAACTATGATAACCAATTAATTTAAGTCATTTATCAAGCCAAATGCCAACCGTTATCTGGTTTCAGCTTTTGAAGATTTGCTGCTTTTCTTGAATATCTTTGCACCGTTAGTGTCACCTCTGGGCTGTAATGGGAATCTCAAAAAATGTCAGAAAAAGATCCGAAGAACTGTAATTGCTTACTCCCCATTTTCCCGCATGTCCTCTGGGGCCCATTGCCCAACCAGCAGCACCATGCTCCTCCTGCTCTGCCCATCACTGCTGCAAGGTCTTCTCATCAGCGTGACTCTGAAGACTTGAGCTCAACACATTCCTCTTGTTTGCATCAAACACACGGCCCACATGCAGCATATGAAGTGGATGGATGAAAACACACCCTTTCTCTTGATCATATACGTACACCAATTGTCGATACATAATCCAAATAATCCGACATAAACTTGCTCACCTATCAAATTTAGACATCGGACAGGAGGCAAATCTCAGTTAATATTTTCTGACGGTACCCTAAATGAATAACAATTAATTTTAGATGCAATAATATTGATACATTTATTGTTAACCTTGTTTTAGAGTGATTCGTGTCTCGGGAAGGTACAGCAATTGACTACTCAAGGAAAACATAGAATCTAAATTGCAAAAAAAGAAAGAGAAATTCACTGCCTGCATTTATTTGACCCTCTCCCTTCACTAGCCATAGAGCCTGCTGCAGAGAAGCACCCTCACAGCACGGTGCTGCTACCACCAGGCTCCATGGTGGGGATGGTGTGCTTCTGTTAATTTGCAGTGTTTATCTTACACCAAATATTGCACTAAGTATCATGAGCTAGTAGCCCCCTTTCTGCTGTAGCGGTGGCCTCCTACACAACTGCTTTTGTCACACGGACTCCAAATGTTTTGAGGATGGCCTGCTTAAGGCAGATCCACAGCAGTATTTGATATTCCTGTTTCAAGGGATATTCAATGCAATAGGAATTTCATTCCTGATTCTTCTCAGTAGCCTTTTTATGTAATGGATCAGAATATTCCCTTGACTTCACTTGTTTTTTTGCCAGGAAATGTTGGCCCACTAACCAGTGGTTGTACTGTAATTAAAATAACTTCATTAAACATTAAACACAGGTGACCTCCACTTATCTTATGTGTATTCTAAAACCAATTCGCTAAACCATTAATGATTGGCCCAGTATGTGAAGAGACTGGACACTTCTGAATTTTGTTTATATTTTCATATATATTTTGATATAAAAAGTGTTGTGTTGCTCAGTGTGCAATACATATTTTTGAATTACAATTGTGTCAGTTTTTAAAAACAATAAACGTCAATACTGTTGCAAATTTAGTATTTTCTCTTTTTTTTTGACTCATGTCAATGGTGTGCTGGCTGAATGTGTTGTTGAATCATGTATGATTATTATGTATGTGCCTGTAGACTGAAACGTTGCTCTATTTCTCTTGAGAAAGAATTGTATTGTTCCTCATACTTATAACTTTGTGTAATCATTGAACATACATTAGTTTGTTTTCCACCAGCAGCTTCACGGTAGTTTAGCAACGCGTTTGCTGCGCAACACAAGTTTCAGGTAAAAGTGGTGATCGTTCCTGTTTTAATTAACAGATAGGAAACAGGTGCGCGTTTCCAGCCAGCACGTTTTAACCCCGGCTTTGAACGCGACCTCAGCCATTTATAACCGACGATCTTGATCCTCACTAGCTCCTACGAAACAACTTTTTGGGTTCAAGATGTTCATCTGGTTTTGTATTTTCGTTTTTGCTGCCTCCGGTTGCTGCGTAAACGCCGGGAACACGATGACCGGTCGGTCACACAAAGTCCCGGTAAACAGCACCAAGGTTTTGAGGGCAGCCCAGTTCGCTGTGCTTGAATTCAACAGAGCCAACGTAGAAGAGCAGTTTGCTTACAAAATTGTGAACATAACATCGGCCAAAATGCAGGTAAAACTTAATCCCGGAGTCCTGCATTTTATACCATGAACATTATTCCCATAATGAGTCTGTTTCCTGCAGGTTGTCGCGGGAATAAACTACATCATGGACATGCTGCTGGGACGTACAATGTGTAAGAGAATCTACACTGCTGACAGTGAACCGTGTGTTTTACACTTTAACCCCAAGGTAAGTATTTGCTGTGGCGCGTAACGCCCAAAAAAAGACACCCTTAAACCCGATGCAAGTACAAATGTGCTCCTTACTTGGCCCCTGTGCAATGTGTTGGTGTGGGAATTAAAAGGATGCACTCATTTGCTGTTTATTTCAGGAACTTCAGTGCCACTTCGTCGTAACAGAAATCCCTTGGGAAGATTCTCGTGCACTTACTCTAAATAAGTGTCACCCATATAATCATTGACTGCTATTCTGATTGCTGCTGTTGCCAAGTAAACCGTTTTAACTGAACAGTGTTTTAGTGTGTGTGTGTTTCATAAATGGAGCTTTTTAATATACTGTCCACACCCTCTATGTTCATAAACAAGTGATTTCATTGGCTCCCAGATATGCCACTTGTTCTAACGCTGAGTTGAATAAATTCAGTGACCTGCACTCGCACTGCGTTGTATAGGGCATGTAAAATGGCATAATTATTCCAGTGAGTGACCGGGGGCAGCTTTACTGTGCCTCATCTCTGTGTGTCCTGGCAGCTGTAAGGCTCTGGTTGCGTGTCAAGCTTGGTCAGACACATGGCTGCTAAATGGAGACGAGGCTACACCTCTTCACACTACAACCACGGTCTCCAGAAGGGCTGGGCATGGAGGATTACAGGCATTTTCAGATTACTGCTCAGCAAGACTGAACTGTCTGCTGCGCTGACCCCCTTTTTTTTCTTTTCACAGGCGGAATAGATGGTTTACTGATAATGTACAGCAAAAAAAAAGTGTGTAGTTTGTTTGGGGCAATACTGCCATATATTATTTGATCTACCACAATTTCAGGAGTTTTTCCTTAACCATATTTTTTGCATCACTTAACAACAGAAGGAAATGGTAAAAAGTGTGATTAGCGACTGATAAAAATATGATTTAGTTGTTAAAATAGCAGACATTGCTAAGTGGTGTGGGGCTGCATCTGTTTGGCTTTGATTACAGTAAACTGCCGCATGGATAAGCGGTACACACACACACATCCCCCTCTCACCCACCCAGCCCATAATGTCTCTAATCAGGGATGTCTTAATCAAACTGAGCAAAACATAAAGAATTGGCTGGTGCTGTGGATTAGGTAGCAGGGGTTAGGAATGTGGGGGAAGGGGGTTACTCCTTAATGTAGGATGACTAACATTGAAGCTCTGGTGCCCGGAGTATGCCCTGTCCATCTGCCATTCCACTCACCCACCCACTGACACACTAACAGGTGCGTGCACGCAGATACACGTGTTTTTCTGTGCACACGCTCGCATACGCCACCCCACACTCTGGCCCTACCCCTGTCCTCACTTAGCCTGGGCAGCAGATGGTGAGGGGCAAGGCTTGTAGCCCCCCTCCCAACTCCAAGCCACCAGCCCATCACTCCCAATTTTTTTTTCCCCCCCCACGAACACCACCCCACCCCTCTTTGTGTTGTTGAAGAGCCTGAGTGTTGAAAGGCGAGCCCCAGCTTGTCTCCCCCCCCACAAATCCTTGGCTGGCTGCCATTGGCGGGACTCAGTCAGGTGTCCTAATGCTTCAGTTAGGGGAGGAAACGCTGGTTAATCTGCCCATCGCGTGCCACCGGCCATGGCCTGGCCTCTTTGTGTCTGGCACCCCTCTGATCATTCCCTCCACCCCTTCATCTGTCTTCCCCCCTTCTCTTCCAACCCAGTTGCTCTACCCCAAGACAGTGTCATCCTTTCTTAAAGATCATCCCCTCTTCCTCTTGGGATGGGTTTTAATGGCATCCTTTAGACAAATCCAGTAGTTTTGACAGATTTGAATAGCTCATGGTTGATGGATTGAACTATTCTATTATCCCATCAGTCAATAAATCCTTCTCTGTTTTGTGCTGACTCATCTCAGACATCAAGAATACCTTCAAATGCACCTTACAGGAAAACTGTTGCTATTGAATATTACACCATTCTTCTTTGTAACTTCTGTGCCGCTTCACAACAACAGTACCTAGTCAAGCCTTTTGGTGCATACCATGTGTTGAGATATGTATCTCCAACCATGATCACTGCCCGCTTTGTCAATCCCAAGTTATAGTAAAACACTGTGACATATTGTATTTCATCATAGTTGCTCCTAAAGGAATACTTGAAGTTAATACAAAATTGCTACTAATTAAATCGACGTATTAACTCATCGATGTAGTGTAATCCACTATTTTAAATGCTCTATGTCTCGTGTAGCTATGTTGTTTTGTTATTGCGGTGTTTCATATTTTGCTCTTGATCGTTTATGCATCGTCACACAGGTGAAAGTCTATCTCATTATATAGAAGCAGCACCATAACATACTCCTGGAAGGTCCAAAGCTCTTGTTAGGATGAAGGATGCTTAGATGCTACTTGCAGGAGGCTGATATGATGTGATTGCATAACCAGAGAGAGGTCATTACCATTTGACCCCTGCTGACCTTCTTTTTGATTGACCCTGGGTTTGGTCACCGCTTCAGAGCACAGGCAGGAGTATAAGGTCAGAGTTCAAAGTATCATCAGCTGTGCTGCCATGGAAACAGCAGCGTTTACTCCTCTGATGGTCAGTTTTAATCCAAGGACAGTGGTTCATTTAAAACTACGGTTTCATTTGCTTTTATTTTGTCTCACCTTTGAAAGGTTTTCGTGTTTACTTCTTTTTAAAGCTCCAAAATTACACTTGTTCTTTAATGTGGCTACAGCTTAAGATGTTGTCCTTTTGGACTGAAATCAGATTTGTAAATATTGAATACAGATGTTTGTAATTGTTTCTATTGTAGTACTGATGCTTCAGGTTGTTTTGAGGGTTATGTGGCTGTACATTTGCCCGGTTGAAGTAGCATTGTGAACGGCTCGTTACATTTTACAGATTAGTTCTTTGTGCTTGTGCTATTTCTTGTATTTGACATGTTGTCTTGGGGTTTTCCTCGTGTGCTATACAGCAAAGCACACATCTCCTGTCTTCAGTATTGTGACCAAAGCTTCAGGAGCCGCCATTGTGGTCAATCGAAACACACCCGCGGTTTGTTTTTCCACTTCCTGTTTGTGACCGTTGTGAAGGGTTTCCTTGCAATCAGTGCTGCGGCAGGCTGGGGGGAGAAAATCAATACTTTCAATGTAACATGCGGCCAATGGAATAAGGGAATGATTTATGTAGGGATGGCTACTCCCTGAATCAGATGGGATTTGTGTTTGGTGGCCGGATGAGTGGAGGGGAGGAGGAGGAGTGGTGGCACAGAGACCCAGAGCAAGAAGAACTATAAAAGGTTTAAAAAAAAAAGTGTGCTTCACTGCTGTTGATCGTGGCACCACTCCTCTCCCTTTCCCGCTGTCCCTCTCCTCTCTTTTCATCTCTCAAACACACCATGCTCCCTGACTGTCCCGCTTAATCTTAGTGCTGTATTATCATGAAACTGAGACCGACGGGATGCACACAGACACACGCCAGGAGTTTAGCAGGTTGTGGACCACCCGCCAGAAAGGGCATATGCCCCATCTCCTCTCCAGATTTATGGGAGCATGTTAATACCACCGTGCAGTCAGAGAGGACGAGATAGAGGCAAGGGGTGGGGAGGGGTGGGAGATGAAATGTAGAGGGAGAGTGTAAGAGCCTTGCAGACAGACAAGGCAGGAGGAATGAGAGCAAGTCTGCAAGGGAACGAGGCTGAGAGCAAGTCTTGGAAAGAGACAGAAAGATTGAAGTGTGGAGGCGGGAAAGAGCGAGAGAAGCGAGGACATAACAACCATAGAAAAATATGTGTGTGTGTGTGTGTGTGTTTGCTTTATTGCAGTGGCCCCACCTACCCCTCCATCATGTTAAGGAGGCACAGTCCTAAGGAGGAGGGGTAGGATCCCCTCCCTCAGCCACCGACACACACACACACACACACACACACACACACACATGCTCTCTCTCTGGCTCATACACACACTCTGCTCCGTGAGGGAGCAGTCGCTGAAGAGCTCTGGATAGACCATGCGTGGTTCTGCAGGTGTCCCACCCTTCTCTCATCACATGGATGCTTTAGAAGGTACTATTTCCATTTGTTTCTTTCTCCTTTTCGTCACATTTCCCAATTCTTCTTCAGTTTCCTTAGGTTTGCTATTTTCTCCTTCTTCGCTCGAAGATTTCTTCTCTTCATTGTTTGGAGTAATCTGTGAGCCGCTGCTGCTTATATGTTTGTGTGAGATTACATGTGCGTTTGTGTGAGACTGAATGCATGCTTGCATGGTTGTTTACAAGCTCTACTGTAGCCGCTGGTCTGACAACTTTAGTAGAGTGGATGCTATTAGCTACATGTGTTTCACTTCAATTTTATTATCTTGTAATGCTTCATTTAAAACTAATTTTATGGGGGTTGTGGCTTTGGCCGCTTGTTGTATTGTTTAGTCTGGCATTTTATTATTTTTATTGGCGCTCAACTCTTAAAGGTGGAGGGAGACAAAGCGCATTATGAATGCTCTGTGTACACCCTCTTATATGCGTATTCATGATGTTTGGGTAGAGGCTTTCAGTCTCCTCAAGTCGAGTAGAAATACATTTTTACAATGAAAGTGAAGTTTTACGCTTTTTCGGGTGTGATAGTGATGATGGTGAGTGTGAAAGAGTTGGAGATGGACAGAGAAGAGTTTTTCAGGTGGTTAATGCTCGACACATTACCCAGACTTTGTTACAGTAGAAAAAAAACTCTTTTTAATCATAAAAAAGGTGATTTGTGTGTCACAGAAAAGATAATTAGTAAAGGCCAAACCAGAATATATGCTTGGTTAGAGAGAAATAAGGGCGATGGCAGCAAAAAAATGGCTAATAATCCGGTAACGTGGAGTGAGTGAGGGCGAGCACATGTCTTGCATGTAACGTGCCGTATTGGTGAACACCCAATACACCCCTCTTCTGCTGATACTAGAGATGGAATTACAGGAGCAATACGCTCTAATATGTTGATGAAAATATTTACTATGGGCATTTTATTTCTATATGCAACAGAATCATACGTTCTAAATGTGTTTTAAGTCTTCATTTACTGGCCATTTCATTTGATGTGACATATTTACAGGGATGACTAGGCTAAAATGCTTGCCTTATTTTGGTTTTTTCTACCCCAGGACATTTGGTTCACTGTCCAAGCTTTTGGTTGTTTGCTCAGGACATAATAATGACCGTACAGTCTGTAAATGACCATCTTTTTTTAAAAATAATGTTGAAGTTTTCAGGGCAGTCCTACTCTTATTGTCTATCAGTAGCATTCAAATTGTGTCCAGGGCATTACATCCCTGTTTGGAAATCAAATTGGTGACCATTTGTTCAAACAGACCTGACAATTAATCTCCAAATCCATCCTGAAAATCGGTTCCTTCCACAATATCTCCCCCTCATCCCTTTTCTTCTGCTCATCCTTTAGGTTAAAGCAGTGTTCTCCCCCCCCCTTTTTTTAGGCTTATATTGACCTGTTAATAGTATTATCCACAGAGCGTGTGGCAGGGCCAGGGTCACATCCCTCTAGGGTTTGGATGGTCAGCCCTCTGGCCACGGTTTGGTCAGAGAGCGGCCAATAGGACCAAAGCTGTGGTCATCCTTCAATCTAGCTCCTTTCACAGCAGAGGTCACACGAGTCAGAGGGTAATAAGTTTAACCCCTTGAGGGGTGAGGAGTCAAAGGTCACAAACAAGGCAATAGAGAGAAGGTTTGCATCATCAATCAGTGGCACTCCTGGTTGTATCTGTGCATATCGATGACACATGCTCGTTTCTGCCAATCTCATTTGCATGGCTTGCTAAAACACAAAGGACAGCCATTATGATCATAAAAAAAGTGAACAAAAATAGCATTGGTATTGTGAAGAGGCTGTGCAATGTCAGTTTTTGTTTGCGCTTTTGCAATACTGTTTGTAACCTTTCTTTGTGTAATTTTAACACACTTCATTATGCAGACGTTTGAATAATATCCTGAGTAATGTTTGTAAATGCCATCTACGTTTATAAATGAATACGCTGCTCAGCCGATTTCCAGTGCCTGTAAAAAAGAAAACATACTCTTTGCAGGAATCAGGCTTTCTGTTATCTTTTTATTACTGCCTTAAGTGTTTGTTTATGCTAAAAAAACATTGATATGATACTTTTGTTTTTATATAACTAATTTCAATAACTGTACTAATTTTTCCAATATATGGACTATGTGGACTGGCTATATGTGAACTGGCTATATGTGTTTGTTTCTCTTGCATGCTACACCCTTAATACCATGCTGCATTGAATGTGAAACACTGAAAATTAGTTTTTCTTGTAAGGGAAAAAATAGTAATCATTATTTTATTAAAGGCTGAATGTGAAGTGATCATAGGTTTATTTGTATAGGTGTGGCCTCGTTAGTTCCTTTCCACAATCTCGTGCTAACATACATTGTCTCGGCCTCACAGGTTTCTTTAAATACATGTAATTATTCCCCCATTTTAAGGGGTGCTATTAAAATAATCTCCTACAAAGATACTGTGACATTTTCTTAAATTCTACCGCAGATGAGAAAGTGTGTCCCTCCTTGTAAATCTGAAATGGTGCGGCGCTGATGTTTCAGCTTCTCCCAGAGGTCTTCTCTCCCTGGCTGATGTTAGCGATGTGTCAGCATTAAGCTAGGCCTGCCTGCTAGGCTGCTGGGGCCGTGGTGGCGACCAGCCCAGCCTGGCCACAAGCCAGACCAGACATGTCTTGGCACCAGACAACAGAGACATGACAGGATCAAAGATTGGGGTTCTAAAAATATGATCATACACTATGCAGTATTGCTGATGCATAATACCAACACAGTACACAGGCATGTATATTATGCACAGTCCTTAAGGAATTTAATATTTTTTTTATTTTTTATTCAACAGTGCACGGTGCAAGAAACGATGGGAGGGAGCAGGGGATGAAATAAGACATGCACAAAGATCCCCGGTCTGACTCCAAACGAGGATGTCGTAGCTACAAGGTATGTTCTTCCGCCAAATTAACCACCACGACGGTCCTGATGTGTATTACTTTAAGGAAGGCTCCACACGCACATTACATATATGGGTTGTGGACATGTTAAACTCGGCACGCTATAGGACTTGTGCATGCCATTAAATGTGTGAACAAGAGAGATGTACATGTTGCTCAGTCAGCTATTGCACAGAGAGAGACCATCAATCACAAATGCATGGTGAGCCGCATTGCTCTTTTCCTGGTCCCTCAAGTCCTTTCTCTGGGCTGGAATTACACAGCATTTTACCTGCAACACTGCATTTTTCTGGACTTTGTCTTTACCCTGCACCGTAACTCAAGCAACACATTTGTGCGCTGCCATGTCTTTTTAAACTGACGAGAGGTGAAGTTTTATAGTGCAACTTATAAATCAGCCCTATATATTGTACACAGTTTCTATTAGGATTTGATTCTCTAGTCGCAGTAAAATGTGCAAAGGGGGAAGTCCGTAATGTTTGTGGTTTCTACACTGTCTTAAAATAACGGTATAAGTACAACATAGGTTATTGAAGGCCCTTCCCTTGCTGCAACTACTGTGAGCCTTTTATTAGTCTCACAACAAGACTTCTCCATGCCTGCTTGACATCTTGTTTCCCTGCATGTACCTGATGTCAGTTGTTAAAGAACGCTGCGTGCACCTCACCCAATATGAACTACTCTTTTCTTTTGTCCTTATGTTTCACCAATATTGTCAATAGGTACATTCTTCCTATGTATTTTACCATTTTGTATATCTTATTAGGTAATTTATATTATCTCATAAAACTCCCTCATTTGCCGTTTTGAATTATGTAGAACATTTTAAAAGAACACTTCGTCAAACAAAGCAGTTAACTATAGCTCTATGGTATGGGCAAAAGCCAGCTGTATTTGATAGATGAACGTTGAGACCTTGGGCTTTGGATAAGACACGAGTATGCTGAGGGCTACGGTTTTGGAGAGCGCGTGTGATAATCAGCAGGTGGACTGGTTGTTGTTGTGATAAGAGCAGGTGATTTTTCATGCGGTCAAGGTCCTGTCTTTCAGACAGTTTGATCAGCTGAAAGGTTCACTTCATATTTATCTCCTGAATTAAGTAGACAACTTACCATGTGTCTGTCTCTCTAAAACTATTCATTAAGGTATCTATCGAGTAGTAGAAAATAAAATAGAGAAAAGATTATCAAATGAATGAAACGTTTAGCTGTATTGTAAAGTGTCTATTAAGACACCTGCAGATGTGTTTGGGGTCTTACTGAAGTGATGCAGTGCCTGGGTTGTCAAGAAATGCTCTTTGTAAAGGTCACATGTTACTGCTTGCTATGTTGTGATGCGGCCAATAAAACAACCAATAACTGGCCCTGTGAAACATGCATTCATTACAATGTTTTGTCAAGGGTTTTATCCTCACTATTGAAAATATGTCATTTAAAGAAACATAAAATAATCTTACAGCCTCATTTATGAAAGTGTGAAACTACATACTTAAGTAATGACTTAACCACAAACCCATAATTCAGCAGACCTTAATAAGCGACTATAAGATTAGATATGACCGAAGTTCCTTCTGCTTTTGTCGGATCTGCAAGTTTGAAAGTATACATCCCTGTTGCTCACGGTGAGCCATGTGCTAACATTGTGAATGCCTTCATAAGCATACAGTACATACAGAAGTTAATACACACAATGATACAGTGTAAGTTCCCTCACTATTAAAACTGTGGTGTTTTCCTTCAGCTAACAAAGGAGCAGAAGCTTTGTATCAAATTTATAAGGCAAATTGATTATAAAGATTGCTGAAATTCAATATTTTTACAAGACTTAAATAATCATATTACGGGAACTGAATATATTTAAGTTTCATTTCGAGAACTATTTTATAACTGTGACCCATGTTTAAGAGAATAGAGGTGATATTCTATTGTTCCCTATTAAGCTTTGAAAAAATAAGATTTTACTTTATATATCATTTGGTGATACTGTATTTGGGTAAGGGGAGAAGTTGATGAGATAGCAAGGCCTCATTCAGTGCCGGTGCCGTTTGTTAAATCAAGGTAATGAACAGGGACCATGAAATGACCAAAGGCCGATAACATAATGTTCCCTTGGAACAGGCCAGTTGTCCATTGGGCCTAAATCGACTCATTTACATGAGACATAAATTCACATTTAAATGGCAGAAAATTGCTCGGGTGGCTGATACACTGGGGCATATGCAATTATAATTGTAGTCAGCCGCGTGTTTGTGTGTGTGGGTGATATAAGATTGAAGAGATGTGTGGGGGAATTATGTGTCCAATAACTGAGATGGGATGTAAATATGGTCAGGACAGCCAGTAGTCTGATGTGCTACCGGCCCATTTCATCTGAGACTGCAATGCAGGGGCTAAATGGCAGCCAGTCCCACACCGAACGGATGGCAAATCAAAACAGGTCTCCATAGTACTATCGAGAAGTGTTTTATATGAAGTAACTAGTCTATGCTGCTGATTATTTTCTTGATTATTCACTGTGAAATCACATGACTGTAAAATGTCAAAAATATTTCAAAAATATTTGAAAATGTCCAAGATGATGTCTCTAAATATCTTGTTTTGTCCAACCAACAGTCCAAAAACCAAAGATAATCTCTTCACTGTGATATAAATGAGAAAAACGGCGAATCCTCCCATAGGAGAGGTTGGAACCAGAAATTGTTTTGTATTTTTTTGCTTTAACAATTGATTTGCTGATGAATTTTCTGTCGGTCAAACAATCGACCACTTGTTGCAGCTATTAAGTTTAGTAATCCTGGTTTATAACTGCGTACGACCACTGACAAAAAACACAATCAATCCAAACTCTGAAACATTTTCACTTCAGTTTCATATGATACACATTCTATCTGTTTTCATGTGCGTCTCATTGTCCTTATAGTTGACGTGGCATCAATTACTTGCTGCCTTTTACTCAAAGACATTGTGCCCCCTCCTCATCCTACTATCCCTCTTTCCCTCAGTGCAGTTTTTTTCCTTTCACCTCTCCTCTAACGGGAAAGCTGGAACAAATACACATGTCACATCAGTTCATGGAGATCCCAATTGTTTTTAGCCAGTGTGCACCTCTAAGAGGTCTATGGGTTGCCTGTGTTTCTCAGCATGGCTTCGTATACGCAAACGCAACCCCGACCTCACACAAGCCTTGCACACCATGCTGAACATGCACTCAGATTTACAGACTCATACATTGTACATGCACATTGCATTTCTCTGTATTCACTCTCACACACTGTTTTCTATCTAAATCTCACCACATGTCATTCAGTCCAAACTGGACCATCAACACACATTACAATATGGCTCACCAGGAGGCCCCTTACAGACCTGTTTCATAATTTGGGCTGCTCTGTGTATTGTATCGGCCTCCTTTGATAAATTTACCTCCAACTGATACAATGCCTCAGTCTTTTTGTTCGAGGAAGACAATTGCTTGTACAGCGAAGGTCCTGGCCCTTAATGAAGTGCTAAAGCTATTGGGCACAAAGGTCGTTTTTTGCTCTTAACATTAGATGACAGCTAACGGCGCAGACAACACTGTGAAAGGATGGAGACTAAAGTTCATTTGGTGATATCATTATTTTATTGTTCAGAGCTATATGTGGAAGCCAGTAAAGCGTAAAAACGAATTTGTAACTGAAGACAACAATTTGAATAGGTTGTCAGTGTCAGACCAGTGATGTGCAGCAGTATTTTGACCTTCCCATGCTTTCACCGTACCATAAATGGTAAAATGTGGGGTTTGAGTAGCATTATTTGCTAAAATATTATTTTGTCATGGACTTATTCATAGTCTGTAAAGCAAAGGCTCTATTGAGTGGTCACCAGTATCAGTTTAGATTGACCATTTCATTCCTCTGTCTTTGCTCCCTTTCCTTTCAGCTCTCTGGCTGTTCTGCTCTTTCTTTTCAAGTTAAAAGCAGAGCTCTTGACACCCAAGACTGCTGTAGGCAGAATACAACGTAAGATCATTTTGGTTTATTTATTTATTTGGCCATTAAACGTATTACATTACAAATGCATTCATAGTTACTCTTATTAAAGTATTTACAGACACCTGTTTTGCATGTTTCTTTTTGAAAATTCAAATTGTGTGGATTACAAGCACAGCTATTGTTTGCAAAAGCGTTCAACTTGGACAGCCTTGAAATGTTTGCCTGAAAGGTGAGCCTCTACTGAAGATGATATCACACGAGTAGAATAATCTTATATTCTTCCTTAATAGCAGTGTTGCATGATTTCTATGGTAAAGTGTCGGGCGACAGGTTGGGGGGGGGGGGGGGGGGGGGGG